TCATCCTCACACATCATCAATAATCATCATCACCACTAGCATCGTCATAGTCATCATGTTCATCTTCATATTCGTCTTCATCGTCTTCGAAATCATCACCATCATGAAAACAAGACTCGGGCATGCTCTGAGTTTGAAGAACTTTAGATTCCGGGTTTACAACAGTCAAATACGACATTCAAAATCATACATCAACTTTTGATAACCCCAGGTTCATGCTTCAATGAAAGCAGTTTTCATATGATCCAATGTGAGTGTCGATGTGTGTTGCTGAAATATGTAAAGGCACTGGGCAGTGGTAAACTCTAGATGTGACAAACATCCAGCCCCAATCATCACAATGCTTCTTTCACTCAAATCAACCTCATCTTGGGCTGGCATCATGACGTTTGTCATGTGACGTGTGAGGAGTGAGATAGCTTTTTCAAAGGTTTTTCCCTCAAGGTTCCAGAATCATCCAGACATGCTCCGATTCGGATGTTGGGGCGCCACTACACGTACTGTTTGAGCTTGTCATAGTACCAGTCCAATGCCTCGAGCTGGGAAACAGTCTTATTGGGGGAAGTGTAAGCCCGGAGCAGCGAGATATATTTACCTGGTCATTATTAAAGATATTAACTTGATCATTGTTATAGGAGGTCAAATATAGTGGTCACAAAATAGGTGGGAATTGATTTTATCATTTTTGATTTTTGAGGAATATAAAACAAACTGATCGAATTCGAATCGAATCGTATCTATTGGTGGGCCCTTAAACGTATAAGAGATAACAAATAGATGTTTGATTTGTTTTATTGTGACCCGACTTGGGAATCGTGATTCTGACAACCAATCTTGCCATATACACTCAGGTGACCTGGTCTTCTGCAGTCCTCTTTCTGGTGTAGGATTGCCAAGCCCCCCAGAACTTCTGACCATCTTGAGCAACTCCTCAGCTCAGCGTAAAAGAATTCAAATTTAAGTAGACAGGGTTGGAATTGAAGTGGGATCCCTTGTGACCGAAGAAAACGCTGTCCAACCAAAATATATACTTGTACAGTGGCCATGTGTCTGTCACAGGCCTCTCTAACTTGATCACGTGGGCTACGACCAGCAAAGCGAGGATCTTTCATCACCCAAAACAGCTGAGGCAACAAGATAGAGCATATGTTTCTATGGCCCTCTGAGTTGACATGAGGCTTCAAAATAGGTGGACTGACATCACCCACCCTTTCTTCAGCCTCTGGCACGTGCTCCTCTGGAACGGCATCCTCATTGTTCGGAGGGTGTGGCTCATCCAAAGGGGCAGGCGGACTTTCAAGTTCAGGTTCAGGATCCGGTGGTAAATTGTTTCTATTCTCATTCTCATCATCCCCAAAAAGCGATTCACAGTCACTGGCGATCCAACCCCCTTCCAAGATTGTATCTTTCAGAAGCTGGTCAGATGCTGGAGTAGCTTCATTCTCGCAGGTCCTTATCACAAGCTGACTGGGAAAGTGGGAACGGGACCACTATAGACAGTGACCAATAACTGGGAAACAGGTCAAAAAACGTTGAAGCAGTCGATGTGATTCATGGGATGGTCAAACTTGAATCACGCCTGATTTTGCTAAATCTCCACCAACAAAAAAGCATTAACATTTGACTAATCTTAACTTAACCAATCAAAAGAACCTTGTACAGAAAAAGGAGTGTGCACACACACACACAACCCCATGGATGTCTGAACTAGTCCGAACCGAACCAAGTGTCTTTTGTGTTTCAACATGAGCCTGTTCAACTTCAGAACTTTGAGAACCGGCGCTAGCAGAATTGTTGCCCTCGTCGTCAGTTTCAAGATTAACAACCACCACTGGTTTGGGGTCATTTGCTGGTGTTTTGGGTTTTCTCGCAGCTTTACGTCTTTGTGTTGGTTGCTGTTTCTTTTTTCTCTTCCTCAAAGTCCCAAAGAACTCTGACTCCTCATCTGCCCTTGGATCGTCCGGAATGGCTCCTGGAGGGGGGAAACTTGAAGTTGAGACCAGGACTCTCTGGGACCTTGGGGGCTGGATTTTGGATCGGATAAGATTCTGGAAACTTGAAACGGGACCGAGCTGGATGAACATTAACGGGTTTGAAAAAACAGGAAACATTAATAACTTCTGAATTCAGATTCTTTTACTTCGAACTTCAAACATCAAATTTCAAAACCGATATTTCACCGACATACCTGTTGGCAGTTGGTTCCCCATGGGTTTTCCGAAACAGTCCTCTGAAGAAAGAACACAAGGCATCGAACCCTTTGCTGTTCATACCCTTTGGCACATCCTGAATTGATTCTGGGCAGCATTCCATAGCAGCTAGAATGGCCTTGTAGTAGCCTCCGTTTTGGCAAGAATGACTGAAGTACCCGTTGCACTCATATTCCTCTGCCTGTGTATGTCCTTGAACTGCAAATGGCTTTCGAAAACAAATATTTATTATCTTCAGTGGCCTTCCCCAAACAAACTGATTAAGCAGGAAAACCAATCACAAAAAATTCACTCTATTTTCAAAATGACTTGCAGAAGAATCACCACAACAACACCAACAACAACAGCAACAACAACAACAACAACAACCACAACAACAACCACAACAACAACAACAACAACAACAACAACCACAACAACAACAACAACAAACAACAACAACAACAACAACCACAACAACAACCACAACCACAACCACAACAACACCAACAGCAACAGTAACAGCAACAGCAACAACCACATCATTACAACACACACAACATTACAACAAACACAACATTACAACTTACAACAACAAACACATCATTACAACTAACTTGCAACTTACAACACACTATGAAAACCAGGGCTCGTTTGAGAAGGATTGTGTAGTACGCATGGTGCTCACTTTTGAAATTGAAACATCTCTGCGCCACTGACGCATGTTTGCCAGATTCACCCTTCGACCAACCAGCAGTTACCAGAGATCTCCGTAAAGACCACAAGCTTCGACACAAAGGGTCTACTGGGTCCTGTACTTTTTTGGGGGATGACAAACGGGTGCTGAAAATCAACGCAGCGGAATTGATGACCAACCGCCCTTTCCCATTGACAGAAGCCAGCTCATACTTCTCCATCCACTCAGCAGCTATCATCTGAGCAGGGGTCAGGACAAGGGGTCGTCTTTTTTTGGCACCTGCTTCTCCAAGTTCGCAAATTTGTTCCCTTAGTTGCATGGAACACCCCAAAGCAACAGTGAACACAGCTTTGAGGCTTTGAAAACTTCGAAATGACAACAGGACTTTGGGCAATGTCATGCAATGTTTGGTGCCTTGGGAACTATGTGAAACACAAAAAAAATAAACATGAACGCTTTCCAAACCTTGTCAAAAATCACAAGGCTGCTGTCAATGGCGTCACCAGAAATTGGGTCCCCCAACATGTCCATCACAGACTCTTTGTCAAACTCGGTGATGTGATCTGTGGATGTAAACTGGTACAAACTGTCAATGCTGTCATTCTCAAACAACTCTTGTAAGTTGACAGGCTGTACGACAGTTGTCGCTGATTTGAAAGAGAACGCATCTGGCAGAGTAGGACATGGACCGGAACCATCGTGTTGTGAAGAATCATCACTCACACTGAAGCTCCCCAAAACTGCACAGGATAGTGTCCCCTTCCAATCATCCACTGACCACTGTGTCAACCGCTCCATATACTTTTTGTTCCCAGGATTGAAACCAAGAAGTTGAAAGCACATCCAAGTAGTCTGATTGGGATCTGGTTGGGCCACAGTTGGAATGGCATAAATACCACCCTTTGTTGTAAGGCTCATGAGGTGGGCCAGCTGTTCTCTCCATTGTTTTGTGGTCGGTGCAGATTCCGGGGCGGATGATTGAATCAATTCAGCATCCCTGGTTCTGTCAGCAAACATGACATCGAGGTTGTGACCAGTAGTGTATGACTGAAGTTCCCGAAACGTATGCCATGTTTCTTCCACAAGGTCTCCAAATGACTGCAGGTAGCGTCCCACATTGTTTCTGAATGATACTTGTGTCAAATCATCATGTAGGGCCCTTCGCAAATTGGCGCTCATATGGGCAACGCTGAGGGAGCGGGACACAGCAACCCGGACCTCAAAACTGAAAACGGATGTGGTTTAACGGTTTTGACTTTTGATTGATTTGATGTTTGGCTCTTGGGAACAACTGCTTGGGAACAAAAAATCAAACAAACAAAACAAAACATGTTGTCTAGTAATGAGTGCACTGACAACTGACCAGAAAAAGTTCTACCCAGCCCAGCTGAGTTACATGGACAAGATGGTGTTTTGCCTCCAGACGTTTCATCACAAGAAGAGATGATGCCCAGGCAACCAGTTGTCGAAATAACTGTTGTTGCATGAAATGGTCATGCCCCTTTGCCCATCTTGAAAGTGCTGTTCTATGTTTTGCGAAAAATTCGCGTCCAACATCCCCAAGATTGCCAATCTGATTGAGGTCGTGCAACCTCAGCAATTTCCCTGTTAACACCCTGCTTCTCTTGGTAGTTTCCGCCATGCTGGTGCTTGGCAACAGGTATTCCAGAAGTGCCACAAAACTCCATGGGGGCTTGTGTAGAAAACTGGTGTACTGTGGCAAATCCATTCAGTATGTTGGAAACATCCACGTGCCGACCAAGCTGACGAAGTTTCTCCAAAGCCTTCAAACCAGCAGAATCCATGTCAATGGACAGTCCCCGCAATTGATCAACGAATGGTTTGGAACCATGGACTGCGAATTCAATCAAACGCCTGCCGGACCATTTGCACTGGGTACTGCCGGTCTCTTGTTTGAGCCGCTTTCTGTCCTCCAACATTCAATCCGGACAATGGGCGGGAAAAAAATAATTGAACGTTGGAAAGCTAAACTTTGAAAATATCATTCCTTTGGGATTGAGATTCGAGGTCCCTAGGTGTCAAGTCAATGCAATGTGATGTGAACTTGTACTTGTATTACTCAATCTAAAACTGAGCTCAAGTTAAAACCAAAGCTAATGGTCCTCCTCTGTTGGATGACAATGACAGCCATGAAGCCAACTGGAAACTTGGTGACCCCACTGACAAAGAAGGCGTTGTGAGTATGCAAGGGCCCAAAAAGTAGCAGCGCCATGGTCTGTTGTCAGAACTTCCAAGCAACGAATCTCAGCATCAGAAAAGGTATAATCATCCCCAAATCCATCTCCCTGGTCATCTCTACCACGCAAAGAAGAAGGCTCCAGCAACCATATAAGGAACTGAGAACGGTGTACCATCCAAGTAAGAACTTCATAACGATATTCCCAGCGATGCTTGATGAAGGTTGGGCAAGGTGTCTCAAACATTTTGCCAATACTTCTTTTCCTCAGGTCCCCTTCTATCTTATCATTATCGAAAATGAAGTGCTTGCGAAACCTCTCCAGGTTGTCAGATTTGCTGAAGTATTTTGCAAGGGTGTTGAGCTGTTTGTCAAACAGGTCGAAAAGTTCCGGAATCCAACATTCCTTCAATTCCTCCATGGTATGGTGCAGAGAGTGGTCAATGTCGTGAAGTGGGAGAGTGTTTGGAAATGCCCTCCGTCCAGGGGTGTCATGGTTGTCCTCCCCATCCATGTCCGGAAGGACAGCTAGCTTTGACTCAACCCCCATGTCATTCAAAAACGAAACCGCACGTGACCTTGCCAAAGCAGTGTCACCAATCTCCAAATGCAGGCTCCGCATGACTGCCCTGAACTTGTATGCAGTTGAGGTAGCTTTACGTCCAAGAACCTGAATTGGTAGAACACGGGTTTTGAATGTCAACTGCTGTAGGACCGTCTCTGGGTTCAGTGGATACACGTCGCCCAAATCCACAAAATCACATTCGATGATCAGGTAGTCCCGGCTAAATTGCGGACTGGAATCTGCCCGGAGGTGCAAAGCCCACGTGGCGTCATGTCTGTAGATAAACTCACGCGACCACCTGACAAGAAGAATGACCAATACTAGGACCAACACAAACCAAACAAAACCAAACTCAGCTTGTATCACTTGGCAAGGAAGTCAGGGGAAGTCTTGATTCTAATCATCATTCATCATACACCAAATTGTCACTAAATATCAGTTATAATTTATTACTATAGCTTAGCTGATCATTGGGTGTTAGTTGCTTGCTGATAGCTACTTGTTATCGAAAACCCGTGGTATCTTGAAGGTCTTAAGGCTTAAGTTAAACATAGAATCTTAGAGTCTCTAGAGTCTTAGAGTCTTAGAGTCTAAAGTCTTACGTGGGCTTAGAAGTTTGTAGTATCAGGGACTGTGACTTCGTTCGTCCGACCAAAGCCATCATAGCTTATGAGTGCGGGTAGTAAAATAATTTCCAGAGTTACACCCTCCCAGGCCCATTCGGTGTTACATGTTTTGTTTTAATATGAGTAATTTAACCCGTAACCCCATCAATTCATTAGTTCCCAGGTGGACCCACCGTTGCTTCCTACCAACCTCCCTCGGCAAGTTACAGCATTGAGCAGTAATCAGATTTGATCCGAAAAGTATACAGAGTCATCCTTTGTGGCAGGGTCATCACCTTAAGCAGAGAAGAAAGTTGATAGGGCCAGGGATCAGGGCTGACTGGCCCATCTTGAAACTTGAAACTTCAACCTTCGATACTACATTCACATAAGATCCCTAGTTCGAAAAAGACACAACCATAGTATGGAAGAGAGTCTAAGTTGTAGGATTATAAAAGTCAGGTGACAATGAATGAGAGGACATCATGATCCTAGCTACAAAATACAAACTGCATGATTCCACATTCCACATTCCACAATTCTGTCATCCGTTCAATCCTAACGAAACAAAAACTGAGAAAACTGAATCAAGCTAATGCGAAAGTGACTTGACCAGTGAGATGGCTGCTCAAATCATCATCCAGTACCAGTCTCATTCCCCTTAGAACTTAGAACTTAGAACCCCAACGCTCAAGAAGAAAACTAGATTTTGGAGGAAGCACAGCAGAACAAAAGAAATAAAAAACAGAGAGAAACATGAACAACATAAACAAAACACTAATGCTGTTCATTGATCAATGTGTTTTTGCGGCCATGTGCCAGGGTGTAGCATGATGTTCAAGCTGGAGTCAAGGTTGTTATTGAAGCTGAAGTCACCATGTGCCATTAAAAAACTGAGGGGCAACAACTATGAACATTTAACTTTAAATTGAATTAAGCAAAGTATCAAATGCACAGCTTGCGTCATGACGTCAGATTTCTCTTGCAGATGTCGAAGCAAGTCCGCAAACAAGACACTGTCAATGACAAAGTTTGGAGAGTATTGCCAACCCCCTTTTGCTCTTGATTCTCTACCAGATGTGACTGTCAAACACTCTTGCAATCTCAGTGTTGTTTCCTTTGCCCCTTGCCAATTCTGCCTCTCGATTTGAAATAACAATGTATGGAACATAAGGTCAACAGCAGACTTGCCACTGGCCCCATCCGCATACGGAGACACAACTGCGCTGCTGCTTGCGTCACCACCAGCTGTCGATGACAAAGATTGAGACTGAGAAGTCTTGCCTAGACCGACCGGGCAGGGTTAAGTGAGGAGGCGAGGAATGTAGTTATCCTTCATTGTAGTTATCCATCGTTGTATAGGTGGCGAGGAATGTTTCAATTTTCAACTAGTCAACATTTTCAACAGGTCAAAGTATAGCTAGATAAACTAAGACTGCATCTTGAAACTTGAAACCTAAACATACAATCCAATCCAATCACATGATTAAATTTAAGGGAGGAACGGGAACAATAATATTTGTTGGAAAGAGGAACAGTGAAAAGTGAAAAGTGAAAAGGGAACAGCAAATCAGTTGACTAGCTTACCACTGTTCCTAGTGGCTTCTCTTGAATGTTGATCTAGCTGAGAAGTCAGTCTTGGTTTCCAAAGCGATCACCCGCGCATTTTCGTCCCAATCCACCCGGTATTCCCGCTGCAGTGACTTCAATGATCGGCGGTCCCTCTCATCAGTGAGAAGAAAAAGATTTTCCTTGCAGTGCGGGGCCAGAAGTATCGGGAAAGCATGTGGATAGCGGGAAACTAAACTTGCAAATTGAAACTTCAAAGGTTGATAGTTGAAATTGACACTTGTTAAAGTTGAGAATTGAGAATGTTGAGGATATTAAAAATTACTTTACTTCGAGTGATCCCCACCATGACATTTATACGTTTTGTTACTGGCAAATCTTCTGGCGTTCTATCTGGCATATCTTCTGGCATCGTCCAGCGGTGCCCACTGAGCTCGGAAGGCCCCAGGTTGAGGTCCAGCAGTGCCCACTGAGCTCGGAAGGTCCCAGGTTGAGGTCCAGCGGTGGTCCAGCAGTGCCCACTGCGCGCGGAAGTTGGCGAAGAGTTGGCAAGGCGGAAGTGGACATCGAAGTGGATGCAGAGGTGGTGGAGGAGAAGCTGGAGGACAAGAAGGAGAAGGAGGAGAAGGAGGAGGAGGAAGAGGAGGAGGAGAAGGCGGACGAGGAGGAGGAGAACAACTGTGATAAAATCTAACAACCCTCACCGGCAGGTGGGGAAAAATGGAACTGGAAAACACAAAACAAAATTCAGAAATCAAAACGCCATAACTCATGCTTGAAACTCAAAACCGTGGCACCACGTTTTCCTGAAAAACCTTTGCGTCAACAGGCGTCATCTTACTCATCTGCCTTCTCCCTTGGAAACTGACTTTGCACGGAACATTCGGTGAAATCTGTCCCTGAACCAATACCTCGTGCTCTGTGTCCTTGCCACCACACCTGAAAATTGTCAAGTGCACAAAGGCGTCCCGCCTCAGTTGATGAACGGGATTTGAATTTTATTCAAGAATCGAGATTCGGCATTTTAAATTCAAATCGTTGAATTGCATGCCAATATCTTTGTTCCAATTCCCAAACGTACCTTTTACCTGGAACCTGGAATCTGATCAGATTGCAAAGGTTGCAAGTTGTAAGTTGGAAGGGTCACGGTCAAAGTGCGTTTGTAAGTTGTAAGCTGGTTGTATGTAAGTGTAGGTGAATAATCGTCAAGTAGAATATAGACTCAGACAGTCAGAATTCAGAATACTCAAAGCATTCTGACTCTGTAGTCTGTTCGTCCCAATTATCAACTGCCACGGTTTTAGAATTGGTAAAATGATAGAGGTGTAGTATAGTAGTATAGTATAGAGTATAGACTATAAGGTCTAAGTCTAAGTGAAGTGGAATTAACAAGTTTGATGTAAGAGAACCTAACACTACTAAGCCAAGGTACCCTCCTTGTTTTGATTCAGAAAATTTTGATCTGCTAAAGCACCAGATCACAGACCCGCGACACCGATCGTTCCGCCAAGATTGCCATGCCATGGCTTGAGACACCCCTCACATTGGCACCGCCATGTGAGATGCCCCCTCACACATCACACTCTGAGATGCGAAGCACTACGCGTATCATCCAAAAACCCAAAAACCTCTTTACGGGAAGATCGGCTTATCAGTTTACCCACGTCACCAACCAATGGTTTCCAGTGTGAAGCCAGCAACTAAGCAGTTGGGGTTCAAGAAGGTATCCTTGAATCAAGATTCTATTGACATTGGTGTGAGATTGTGAGAATCAAGAAAACATATCAATTCAGAATTATCATATCAATTGTATCTATGTATGAACTGTATGAACTTAACAATCTTAACATCATGGCTGCAACTGGAGCCACTGTTGGTCATGCCGAAACCAGGTCGGGCAGGATCCAAGCTCATTCAAAGGTTAACACTGGGAACCACCAAATTTCGAATGATAATTTTCCGAAACCATGGATTTCAATGTCACATGTTCCGGACCCCTGGGGACCTTCCCCCGAAAGGGGTCGTTGTCATTAGTAATACATACATACATACATACATATGCATACATATGCATACATACATGCATACATACATGCATACATACATGCATACAACACAACTTGTCCATACACAACTTACTCGTACTTACTCTTCCACTTTCAACTTGCTCCACACCAATCCTTCACCATCTCTTTTCCCTTTCCTGCTTTCCCCATGCCATCTTTACCTTTCTTTCGCTGCTTGTTGGAAGAAGTTGACATGTGGGGTTATCCGGTCCTTTAATTCTGTAGTTACACTAGTTGTGATAATCAGACTATCCATTAACCCCAATGCTTAGCGTTGATACCCTCAAGAACAACACATTTGGTAGCCATTGTTTCGCATTAGTTACTGGGGTTATGGAATCACCCCACTTATTGAGTGGGCTAGTTGCACTAATCCTACATCTCTGATTGAATTAAGCGCACATATACGTGGTGGTTTATTCTAGCTCGTAAATGATCTATAACCCCATTTGAAAGTAGGGTAAGTAGGGTAAGTAGGGTTTGTGAACTAGCCGTTAGTGCAGTTACAACTGGGGTATCAAAAAATTACTTTACTTCGTGTGATCCCCACCATGACATTTATCGATTTGTTACTGGCAAATCTTCTGGCATTCTATCTGACATATATTCTGGCATTCTATCTGGCATATTTTCTGGCATATCTTCTGACATCCTATCTGGCATTCTATCTGGCAAATCTTCTGGCATTCTATCTGGCATTCTATCTGGCATATCTTCTGACATTCTTTCTAACTTTCTTCTGCACATTCTTTGTCCCATATCTGGATACTCGCGGTTGAGGTCCGGCAGGGAACACTTGGCATGGATCCTCGCGGTTGAGGTCCGGAAGGGAACACTGGGCGTGGATGGTCGTGGTTCAGGTCCGGCAGGGAACACTGGGCCCGGATACTCGCGGTTGAGGTCTGGCAGGGAACACTGGGCGTGGATGGTCGTGGTTGAGGTCCGGCAGGGCACACTGGGCGTGGATGGTCGTGGTTGAGGTCCGACAGAGAACACTGTGGATCGCGGGTCGCAGTTGGACGAGGAGGACGACGAGGACGAGGAGGAGAGGAGGAGAGGAGGAGGACGAGGCAGGAGTCAGGAGGAGGCAGGAGGAGGCAACTGACATAAAATCTAACAACCCTCACCTGGCAGGTGGGGAACAACTTGCTAACTGGGGTGAACAGCCAAGTAACCTGCTAACTGGGAAGAAACATTATATATTATTATATAGTCCATATCAACCCCACCTTTTTCTGCACAGAACTGACTAAGTGCTTTCTGAGGTTGGACGTACTTCACAGATACCACCTTTGCGTACTGGAAGAGTTCGGACTGCGGCCTCTCGCAACGGCACCCAGATGTCTCGCTGGTTACTTCGAGTATCCTCTTGCGATCATATACATATATATATATATCATAAACCGAAGTTACTTTAAATGAATGGTTGATTTTTTGAAACTGTTTGTACATGTTTTTTTCTACCAAGATTTGTTCAGATTCTTGAGGATGGTGTAATCATCATCTCGGGATATACGGAAGAATCAACCACACACACGTTGGGCATTGTTTACTACAATGTGAGGCCCCCGTTCGATAGCTAAGTTGGTGCAAATAACTCCCATTTCACTATGGTTTATGGTACGCAAATAACGAACTAGTTACTGGGGCGAATCTAAACCAACGTTCACATCACTGGGGGGGCCTCACATTGTATTGGATTACACTGGGTTTACCTCAGATCAAAGTGACCCAAAGATGTGAACCCAGGACTGTTGCGTAAGGAGGTTGTCTGCAACAACCAGAGGCAACCCAGTTAGGTTAGTGGGACATCGCCTAGTTTCATATGAGTCGCTGTGAAAAATACCTGCTGGTTGATAATTGCGTGAGGTTATGCTACCCAATATATGTAACATATTGAGGGTTATGGAAATCCAGCACGGGACATCCGGTCTTAACCAGCCACTATAAAGGGACACGTTGCGAGTTTGAAACATGAAACGTCCACTGGATATATCATATATCTAAATATGTAAATGTGATCATTACCTTCTGGTAAATTAACATAGACCCTGAAAACACCCAATTGTTTAGTGGAAACTAGTCTTTCAACCCCTGTCTGCCAGGGTCTATGTTAATTTACTGGAGGGTAATAATCATAAGCCACATATATGAAATTTTAAGCCACTTAAACCTTGAAATTAGCCACTTACGTTTTTTTAGCACATCCTGCTGTGGCTATCCTAGAGCACCTTAGATGCCGGGAGGTCGCGTGCAATCACGGTGAACATGTGGGCTGCTGAGGCCCGGTCCGTGCACCCGGTGTGGTTTCTGGATGTTTCTAGGGGATCCCCACAGGATGGTGCCCCCAAACGTGATGTGAACGTTAGTTTGGAAAAAACACCATGGTATAACTAGTTCGTTATATCTACCATAAACAATAATGGTCAGAATGGGGGTTCTGGGGGATCCCCAAGTCACCATGGGTTTCAAATGGTTTCAAATATATACTACCCTCTGGTAATTTAACATAACTATTGAAAGATCCACCCTTTTATAGCTGGATAAATCAACTATTTCAATGGCCATTTTCAATAGCAAAATGTTAACGTTTGCCAGAGGGTAAGTTCTGGTCGAATGATTGGGGATAATTCGGCGGGTAACCCCCATGACTGGGATGGCAAACAGCAGGCATTTTTTCTGGGTGAAGAGGATGGTCTCTCATTCACGTTAGGGATTTGAGGTTGAGTCATTAGTTATTTACTAAAGTCCTGGTTGGTGGTTTCAAACATTTTTTATTTTCCATACTCTATGGGATAATCCTTCCCATTGACAAATATTTTTCAAGATTGTTAAAACCACCAACCAGAGTCTATTTATCTTATTTAAACCATTAGTAAATGGACTATTTAGTTTTAGACCTAGTAAATGGACTATTTACTAAAGTTTTATCTTTAGTTTGATGATGTTTTATTGGTCTATTTAAATATTTCTAATTGGACTCATTAGATAAAACTCATTAGACCAGAGTAATGTTATGTCGTTACGTGCCAATTAGACATTTACTGGACATTTAAAAAAATAATGACATGTGGGTTGTCTTAATGACATTTGGGTCAGGGTCATTTTCTGTACCGCCAACAGCTCGATCTCCCTCGATGCAAAGTTTCCTGGATATGTCATGAGCAAACAAGTGAACACCATGATCCGATGAGCGAGATCTGCTGCGAAATCTGACTCCAAACCCAGCATTTTGCCAAAGATTCTAGTCCCAAAGAGGTTTCCAACTCCAGGCCCACAGGCCTGGTGGTTCTGGTAATCTGGCAATCAATCTGTTACAATGCTATGAAGAACCACCATGACTGGGTAAATCATGGAACTCAATGGGGCACCACGCTGCCTCGCTCTAGGCGCTATGTGAAAGTTTGGTGCTGAATCCCATCCCCAACTTGCGCTTGTTAAGCTTATGAGAAACCATCCCCATAGAATTGCAAGGTGGTGCCCCAGTGAGCTGTTCACGCTCAGTTGACGCTGAACGCTAACTTGCTAGACATTCTTTGGTTTATTGTAGATACATTGCTGATATATCTATATTTACTATGGAAAATCACCATTTTTAATGGGTTGATTAGGGGGTTCTATCTATAGTTAATGGTGTTTATAACCCAACGTTCGCATCACGTTTGGGGGCACCATCCTGTGGGATTGTAATGGTGAAATCGTGGCACAATAGTGGATTACCAGAGGGTTTGCATGGTGATTGACCATTAGTGGATTGAATGGGTAAATCCACTTTAATAGCTATTAATGGGTAAATCCACTATACATATTCTAGGATTAGTCTTTGAATGACCACTTTTTTTTGCATCGCAGGTGAGTTTCCCTGCCACCTTCACACGTACCACCTGGTACGAGGCGCGTGACGGCGCGTGCGATCCTTCTTCTGGAGGATCCGGAAGTTTGTGATTGGAATGTTTGGAGAGAGAACAAGGTGGTGCCCCAGTTCGTTAGCTAAGTTGGTGCAAATAACTCCAATAACAATCGCTTATGTTAGATATATCTATGCTTTCTATGGTTATAAACCCACTTCTAACTGGGAATATGATGGGGATACAATGGTGATATAACCAGCTTGATATGGCGATACAATGGGAAACAATGGGATACAATGCTTGATTTTATACCACCATTGTTGATCTGGTGCTGGACATTCCCCATTTAGTTCGATGATGATGAATCTACAATGACAAGGTGGTGCCCCCCCCAGTTATAAATTGGTTATAAGCCCATTAACTATAGATGATCACCTATAAACTATAGTTATTGGACTTATTTGCACCAACTTGGCTATCTTGGGGGCACCACCTTGTATGATTTACCTGGGCAAATCAAAATGTGACCTCACCTGCGAGGAATCATCCCCAGCCGCAAGTTTCAGGCTTGTTTTTTTTTGCCCCAGATAACCCAGATGCCCCAAAAAGATGCCGAAAAGTCTGCCACCAGGATGGTTTAGATCAAAAAACATGGAAAAATGACGATGTTTCCGACCCAATGATGAAACACTTCACCTGCGTTGGTGCAATACGATTTCCATGTCGTCCGCCCACATCTTATTGCTATTGTCTTCCTACTGAACCATCCCAGTGGTATGGATAATTAAAAAAAACGTGACCAAATGCCACGTTTGTTTCCACAACTTCTCCGTTTGTTTCCACTTTCTTTCACTCAGAAGGTGGTGCCCCCCAGTTCGAAGTTTGTGCCCAGATTCACCCATCTAACTAGTTCGATATACCTGCAATGAACCTGAAAATATGTGCCCCCCCAGTTATAACTTGGTTTATAAACCACATTAGCTATAGTTAGAAGCATCATGAACCATAGTTATCGGAATTATAATCCAACTTAGCTATCCAGGGGGCCCCACTTTGTACTCAAATCCAATTATGTTTGTTGATCTATTATCCCCATTAACTATACGTACTATAGATATAACTCCCACAAAACCTACTTGTTGGACATGTAAACTCAACTTACATTACTAAACCAAACCAACTTAGCTCTCGTTTTGGGCACCACATCTACCAGAAGCAGGGCACACCCCCCCGGGGTACCCGCACTCGTGCGCCCGGCCACGCCACAGTCCGACAGCGATGCTCGCTTCGAACTGAGCACAGACAAATTGGATGCAGCGACTTGGTTGAAGTCTAGGGCAATCTTGGATGGGTACCCTATGGTTATTTAACATAGCCATGGAAAATGAACCATTTATGAATGAATTACCTATTAAAATGGTGATTTTCCATAGCTATGTAACAAATTAGGATGTTAATGGGATAATCTGAAAGATGGGTAGATGTTTCTGAACCAACAACAAATAGGTGAACTTAACCATCAACAAAAACGGGATTGTTATGGGATATTAATCATGGGGATGAATGGGATATCTATGGCAATCTTAGATGGCTAGAAACTAATCCTTTAGTCTTTTGGTATCAATGGGATTATCTACGTTCACCAGCTAAGAATATGTCAGTTTTTTTGCAGGGTATCTAAGATTGGCCATGAAGTTATGAGCAGTTTCAGTACTCAAATGCTCTGATTTTGGATGATGGATGAGGGTACCCCTATTTTGGGAAACCCCTAAATAGTAGTTTAGGGAATATCTCAATACAGGTGGGGATATAACTTTCCAAGTTACATACAAGTGGGGGTATAGCTGAACAGATGCTGGACTAATTCATGGGATATCAATGATTACCATGATGTAGAGTAACTGATATGGTTGAAGATTCAAGATTTCTTTCTCGGAAGTTTGGAAGGTAGTACTTGGGGTTGTAGTTGAGTTATCAGTTGAGGTTACTTTTATGTTCTGCCCTCAGAAGTTGGGAAATGAGCTCCATAACTTTGGTAAATTTCCATTTCTCGCTGGAAAGGCAGTAGGTTGAATTGCCATTTCAGGAGCCTACATTGGATGTACGTACCATATATAAGGCCTATATAAGGCCTATATAAGGGAATATCCCCACAAAATATGTCCTGAAATATGGTACAGCACCTCCATTCTAGGGTCCTGAAATTCCCATTGATAGGTCTTGACCTTTATTTTTAATTGCCAAAGACGCGTAAGAAAATTTGTATGCGCAGATGGCCTCCAAAGATTTGCTTTTGTTGGAAAGATACAAGGTGGTGCCCCCCAGTGATGTTTGTTGGTTTATAATCCCCACGATATAACTATAGTTAATGGATGTTCATAAACCAACATTATCAATCATCTACCATAAACTATAGTTAACTATGTATAAATATTGTTTGGTATAACTCTCTAATCAACCCTAGATATTGGACTTATTTGCACCAACTTATATAGCTAACGAACTGGGGCACCTCCTTGCAGAGGGGAGGAGTGCTGAAATATTAGGGCGTATCTGACCTTTCTATTAAGTGATGGTTGATGGATGATTGATTATATGATATCTACTGGGATATGTTATTTGGAATATGAGTTTGATATGATATATCTAAGCAACTTGATATGATATTTGGATGTGTCTGAAAATGGTTTGCATACACCCAACATGGCATGTTTTTTTTGACTTTTGTTCGATAAAATGATGATAAACCAATGGTTTTTGGGGCCCTTTGGGCCCCCCGGTATCTTTAGACACAGCCATCGGAAAAGGAAACATCTGCCGGAAAGCGAAGCATGTTTGTTCTGGATCCTATGGATCCTATGGATCCCTAGAAGGTGGTGCCTCCCCCAGTTATAAATTGGTGAAATAAGCCCATGAAAACTAGTTCGATGTACCACCAACAAAAACTATAGTTACCCCAGTGATGTGAACGAGATTCGCCCCAGTAACTAGGTCGTTATTTGCGTACCATGGGAGGATCATCAATCCATTGAGGGATCAAGGCGCATTTTTTGGTCATATCCCATGTTTATGTATGTTTTTCATAGGCCATATGAAAATCCCATATGTTTGTTAGATTGATACCCTTATCCCAAGTATATATATATATATATACATGGGCGTTTATGAAAATGGGAGATCCCCAAAACATCCCAAGACCAGTGGTTTCAATACTCAGGCTGTCTAATTATTGATGATTTGGAGGTACCACATTTTAGGACACCTCCATATGTATTGTTTTTTTTTCCATGACATTCATACTTTGTGCGAAAGCCACAGCTGAACCTCAGCGCGCCGAGTCCTATGCTGGTCGCGCGAGCCCGTGCAAGAGCACTGGTGGCGGATGCATGGGTCTGGGCTCCCAGAGGTTGCGAAGTGCAACTGAGCAGTGGCTGCTAAACCCTGCTTGGTTGATGATTAGGGAAAATTTTGCATGAAAACCATACGAAAATATAGGACAAGATGGAAAATGGTGGGAAACTATTGGAAAATATAGGAAAATGGTGATTCTACTACCCTATATAAATTGGGTATTATAATAATCCAATGGAATGATAGAGGGATGTTGAACACTGCTCAACTGAGCCATTGAACATAGACACATTACCAGAAAATATCAGAACGTGGTGACTTAACCAACAAAAATGGTGATTTAGATGAGTTTATAATAGCTAAGTTGACTTGGATAAACTACAACGACGCATTTTTGCGACCGAAGCCTGGAATGATGGTACCGTCATTTGTGGGGAATCGTCCCGAAACGGCTGCAAGGGGCTGAGGTTTGTGATTTAATAAAAAATACCCAGGCTTATAACTTGTTTAATTGTGGATATATCATGATCTATCTATATTTAGTGGGTCTTATGAACCAACTTATAACTGGGGGAGCACCACCTTGTTCGTTGAGGATTGAATATAAGGAACTTATACTCACTGCTTTGTTGGGAATCATGACCCAGAATTGGAAAAATCGGATAGGAATATACAATATAATATAATTTATAGGCGTATGTACTGTAGGAAAATATTTGGTTGTACTAACTGGAGTTCGGTTTTAAGTACAATAAAATATGGGGATATAATGGATAGCTGATGTTTGGTTGCTATTTATCGAGATTATACTACTGGTTTTTCATAGGAATATGTACTGACCTGCTTTTGGAGATCTGGCCAATTATTACAATGTGAGGCCCCCCAGTTATAAGTTGGTTTAGAGTAACTATAGTTATAAGATGTTATAAGTACCATAAACCATAGTGAAATTGGAGTTATTGGCACCAACTTAGCTATCGAACGGGGGCCTCACATTGTAAAAAAGCCATCTCTGTTTCCACAGAGCGGAGTCGCAATTATCGCCACGTGAGTCCTGACCGGTGATTTTCTCAGATGCGCACAGGCGTCGAATCCGGCTGATGTGCGAAGGTCTGGAGAAAAAAGGCGTAGAATTTGCATTCCTGAAGAGGGCATCTCATCCCCTCTTCATTGATGGCCTTGATCGCTGTGGAATGGGCAGGCCATGATAACTCAAATCTACGGCGGCCAAAATCAGATGTGGTGCTTTCTGATGCCGTTCCAAACCCGACGAACGTACGGGAAAGCCATGGAAATCCAGCCTGATGAGCCCAAAGACGATGGCCCACTCCCTGGCTCCAGCTTGTCGCTGTTTAAGGCGAGGCAAACAGCTTTTCACGCCGTAGCGAACTCCACGTGTATGCAAATTTTTGCCGTTTTAGGATTTCCTCCAGAATTTTCAGACTTCGCGCATCCATCCGTAGCCATCCTCAAAAACACCATAGATGCGTGGAATTAATTCATTAATCGTAGGTTTGCCGTTTGCCACAATGTACTTTAACTATAAGTGGATTTGACCAACCTACATGAATAGATTAGGGCATGATTGTGACACAATTCATGGGTCGTCAATAATCGGTAGATTGATGTTTAGTTTAAACCATATTGAACCAGAATAAATTTGTCCAATAAAAAAGCGATTGAACAGGTTGAACCACGATTCACCTATCGAATTACTCTCCGGAAAGTCAACGTGGCGCACGGGTGGATGAACACGGCCATCCGGTCAATGGACGGTCAAGGCCCAAACAAGGACGAGGTAGTTTCTCTTTTTTGGGCAGACGGCGTACTGGCGAATATCAACAGTTGAAGATTTCACGTATGTGGTCCACATGGTCAAACCTTTATAATTAGCGTGGATCAGGGATTTCAGAAAATATGAAGCATTTTACGCGATTTACCCATGAAGAATAGGGAGGGTTTAAAATGGTTAAAGGTTTTGATGGTAAAGTAATCTATACATGATTTGTAAATGATTGCTACGTTTCACTACCACAAAAGGGTAAACCAACAACATATAGGTAGACCGGCTGATGACATGGCAATAAATTGATTTCTGGCTAAAAATTGAGGACCATACTAACGAGCTCAAACAAAAGTCTTTGCAGTGGCCTTGCGCATGTGCATGGCTCAAGGGTAAGAAGTCCAGCCTGTGACTGGCAATTGGTGTGCCAATTGTTGGATCCATTTGGAATCGCAGGGCAACTGGACGTGTTTTGTGTGCATTGACCTTCGATAGACGCTGGCATTTTTTGGGCCAAAAAAAGATGCCGAAATCTGGACTTCCAGGATGGTAATCCGATGATGTTTCCCTTGTATTTCCAGGTTTCCAACTAAGGTATTGAACTCGGCATCTGGGCCCTGGGGTGGCTATATGGCAATGTGTGTTTAGCAGGCAATCGGTGAAAAACTTCGTGGTATTGTTTCACATAACCCATAGCAGTGGCTACGCTTAGCATGATATTCTAGTTTGATGATTCATAATGTGAGAACCAGATTTTTGTTAGAATCATCATTCATCATGCCCAACTGTCAACCATGTGGGAGTTATTTTCGAAAAATGCTCCCAAGAATCGCAAGAAACCACTACTGTCTGGGATGATGATAACTGTGTTGCTGATTCCACAGTGGTTTGATTGCCATGATTTCCATGAAAATCACGGTGTGGGAGAACACCAGTCAAAACCTGACCCCCGAACAATGCTATGGGAATGATGATTTTCAAGATCAGCAAATGACATGTTCATTCACAACATTAAAATGAATATGATGATAATTTTCCTATATTTTCCTCAATGATTTGCATGTTCAGCTTGATATTTTCCTATATTTCCTATATTTTCCTATATGTTTCTTGATATTTATGTTGCCCTCATTGTAGCAGCTTAAAGCCGACTGGAAATGGCATTGTTTTCCCATACTTTCCCCTATGCTTTCGGATTTTCCAGCCATGGCGAGGGTTTTCCCAGATGCTACAGGGCGAGGCCCCTAAATGATAGCTAAGTTGGCTTATATATATATATATATATCACTGGGATAACTATGGTTTATGTTTATGGTAGTTGCAGCTATAGCTAGATGGGAGAATAAACCAATTTAAAAATAGGCAGTGACCTTGTGTATATATATTATATGTGTGTATATGTGTATGGCTTGTGGTCATTCATCCCATAATGGAATTCCTTCTACTGGGGTTTGGAATTCCTTATAGTGGGATATCATGGGTGTACATAAGTCATCATAAGTCCCTGTTATATGCATATAAGTCCCTATTAACGTTAGATGACAGTGTTACAATAGTCTTACATAAGTCCCTATTCATGATAACGGATGGCAGGGACCTGACCTTCTGCCTTGGTTCGCGCAGGTCTCGATCAAATGCTCTTGCAGGATACAGATGGTACATTGACAGGACTGCAGCCTGCACCAATAATGTCCTTTTGGTAAAAATAGGTTTGGGCCGGGGACTGGTTAATCCCATCTATCATCATTTACTTGTTGTTAAAGGGGTTTCTTCAATCTTTTTTCATCAACCAACCAATGGGAATTTGGGACATCTATGACTGCAGCGCCAAGTGCCTGGCTTCCAAGGCTACGAAGATCGTAGCAATGGGGACAAATCCACACCATGACTTGAGGATGGCAAACATGGCCCTGGCAGGCTTACCACACTGGATGGGATACATTGGAAGTAGATAGCAGGATAACAAAGAGGACAAGACCTGGAACATTAGTGACAACTGCCCAGGCAGAGCGATTTTTTTTTTGGGTCCTGGTTGCGCAAGTTGCGCAACTGATGACCCGATGGCACATGCACAAGTCTACTGTTTTCCGAGGGTACCCAATAGTTATGGCCCGTATTTTTCCAGCTATAAGTCACTCACCCTTCTACAAGGTGGTGCCCCCATAGTTAGCATGTTAGCTAAGTTGACCGATAACTTCGTTAACTATGGTTTATGGTAGATATAACGAACTAGTTAATGGGGTTTATAAACCAACTTATAACTGAGGGCACCACCCTGTATGGAATGATAACCTGGAAAGGCAGTGTATCGGTCCTCAGCTCCCTTGGAGTTGATCCCAAAGAAGCCTCGGCTTTCCCCGCTTTCCCACAGAGGCCATGAATGCCATATAGAGGTTTCCTAAAGTCGGGGTACCCCTAGTTTTCATCCATTTTAGATTGGGGTTTTCCATGAAATAAACCATCCAGCTATTGGGGTAGCCCCGTTTATGGAAACCTCAATGTCAAATAATCCGAATGAAACACCAAAAAAATACAGGGACAATCCCTGGCGAATGCCAATTCTCTATACAGTACTATGCAAGGAAACCTCCATATGACCATGGCACATGTCCCTCACATGTTATTCGTGTCAGAAGTTGCCCCAGGTCCTCATTGACGTCCTTTTTCCCTCTGGTTGATTCAGCAAGGGTTCCTCGGGTTCCTCCCATTCAACAAGCAATAGGTAGCCTCTGGTTATGTCAACAGTTTGCTATTGAAAATGGCCATAGAAATAGTTGATTTTCCCATGAAACATTGTGATTTTCTCATAGTTATGTTAGTTTACCAGAGGGTAATATACCAGTCATAGGCCGCTCTATCTGTCCTAAAAGGACAAGATAAGATGATATGTCATTTGTATCCCATCATATACCTTTACTATTTCCCCATTATCATTCAACCTGGCCATTCTTTAACAATAGATAGATAATACTAGATCATATATAGCTTAGATAAAATATAAGTATAACCGAATTGATTTTATGTATAGTGGATTAGTCAAGGGTTCCCCCTATTTTTTCTAAACGGACAATATTAGATCATTGTGCATATATATATATATACTAGGTCAATCTGAAAGATGGGTAAAAACTAATCCTTTTTAGTCTTTTGGTATGGAATTATCTACGTACCAGCTAAGAATCCGTCATTTTTCTGCAGGGGCCCTCTGGCTGATACATCCCATATCATCCCATGATATCCACGTGGATTTAACCAATGGATGATGATTTTTATCAATGCAAGCCAAGTTACAAATATATAAGTTTCCTAAAAGAACAATATTAGATAATTATACATATGTATATATGTATGTATATATTATATATATATTATATATCCCAATATGATATTTCCATTACAATTCAACCCTAGGACCTTCATTCATGGCTGCTCCATTCTTCCCATGATATTCCCGTTAAGGCCCAGTACGGAGCTGCCCCTGCCCCGATTCACAGGAGTCGGCGCCGCCTTTGCCAGCATCGTGCCGTACACGCCACGCACGGATATCGTGTGCCCCGGTGGCCTTTTTTTTTTGTGACGTCTGCATTTTAAGCCCGAAATACCACTTATAAATGGTTAGAAATTGTGTTTTTTTGCCATAAATGGGGTTTATAACTACTGACTTATAATTGGTAAGGGGCCTAGCCACTGTGAGCAGTGACTGCTAAAACCCCTGTTGGTCTATGATTATATGATTCAAAATAGTTTATACTGGTTGGTGGTTTGGACAATTTTTTATTTTTGTATATATTGGGAATCATAATCCCAACTGACGAACTCCATCATTTTTCAGAGTGGTAAGTATACCACCAACCAGATATAGACATCCCGATTATCATCCCATGATATCTCCATGATAATCCCAAGAAGGGATACTGATGATGAACCAACGGATTTAGATGATGATTAATCAATGCAGCCAAGTTACAAATATATAAGTTACGTTTTCTAAAAGATTAAGAGTAGATAATACTATACACTTATAATATCATAGTTATGGAGTTGAATCCAATCCAATGCATAGCCAAGTGGTGATCCATAGTTCTTCAAGGGATAATCTAAATTGATTCCACTTGTGAGTGGCTGGTTTGTTGGGGTTATAACTTGATGGCAACCAGCAAGACTGGTGCTATAAAATCAACAACTTTATTGGGATATCACGGAAGAGTACAGTTATAGCTCTTAACAGTTTCAACTGGCTTACTTGTAATCCCATTGAAGTTATATTTCCCACCAAACGAGTTGCAGGAGTTATTTCATCCCATGGCCATAACTATAAAAGAAGCTTAATGCAGGCGCGACCCACTTGATAGTCAGATTTGCAAATATTTCTAGAAGGTGGTGCCCCCCATGTTGATGTGAACGTTGGTTTATAAACCACATTAAGTAGGTCGATATATCTACCATAAACATCCATAAACCATAGTCACCTAGTTATGTTCACCAACATGTTTACCCACACCACCTGTCACTGTGAGTTCAACACGCTTGAGCATGACTCAGCCGTGGGCAGAAAGTTTCAGGAATAAACTGGGCATCAGAGAGCTGACTTCTCACGCTGTTTGCGAGATATGCTGCCGTCACAAGTATATATTGAAAGCTTTGACAGATGACCGGCTTGCTCTCCAAGCCCAAATGATTGAGTATTCCCGTCACCTCACCAGTACAACGACAGGTGCAATGGGATGGATCACAGCAAGTTCTGAGGTTTATTCGCTCAGGAAAATTCCCACCCGTCGACGGCCGGGCTTCTGATTCAAAGCGCGCTGTCAAAAGAATTTGACCGATTCAATTGACCTCGTCTCAACATGTCTTGGCACTGGCTTGGCTTGCGTCAGAGATGACTTGGCTTGCGTTAGAGATGACAGTGACAAAGGATTCTTCGTTCTGTTTGGATCTGTCAAAGCATATTGTTGCATTGCATTGCCAAGGGGTACTTGTCCCCTTTGGGGTACTTGGGAACAACCGACACAGCATAATAACCCAGGGATTGCAGGATATGTGAAGCATCTTTTTGGACGAAGCCACTTGGGAATAGCAACTTCGAGGTGTGAGATCTCTAATTTGGAACCGGTAAGTGGTAACAAAGCATTTTTTCTAGAAAAGTATATTATATATATATATATTGGGTATGGATCAATACCTATAGATACATTTTTAGTGGGATGAACATCCATTTACCAGCTATTTTGGGGTTCACTAGGTACCAGGGTTTTGACCCATCCCCATATATATACACATATGTATATATATATATATAGAGGTTTCCTAAAATGGGGATACCCCCAAATCATCCACATTAGACATTTTTTAATAAACATTATTAAACTAAACCATACTAAACCAATGGTAAACCTATGGTTTAGGGGATCCCCCAGGTCAAGAAGCCCTTTAACATCATCTTCGTGGTTTAACATCTAAGTGTTTGTGTTTTTACAATGATCTATGTGTTGATACTACAAATGTTCTGCTTTAAACTCCATGATTGCGCTTCTAGACAAAAACAATCATTGGATCCAGAAAAAAAAACATGAAACGCATGTTTCTCTGTGATAAAAAAAAATCAAGGTGTCATCCTCAACCTCTCCATTTTTCGTATCAAACGCAAAACCCACCATTTCAACATGTACACCTGTAAACTAACATAGATTTGGAAAACCCACCAGAAATTTAGATAATTTTCGTAGGAGACACATCGGTTTTCCACATATTTTATATCCCAAATGCTCCATGTATGGTATATTTACCTACATTTGGGTGATTTATGGGGTAAATGTTGGTAAATATTCCATACATGGAGCGTATGGGTATGTTTTCCTCAGGGTATCAACTGCAGCGTTTCTGCTTTCAAGACGTGTCCCGAGGTGGGCTTCGATGTGCAACAACAGCCTCCACGGCAGCAGCGTTGGCGTGCAGGCATGTTCGGGCCACGTTTTCGGGCACGGAGGGTGGTTTTCATCGGTAAATTAACATAGACCCTGGCAGGACTGCCAGGGTTGGAAGATTAGTGAAACAACTAAGAATTGGTGATGTTCAGGGTCGATGTTAATTTACCAGACTATCAATGATAATAATTTACATATATATATATACACACATAGGGTCTATGTTAATTTACCAGTGGGTATCAATGATAAATAAATATATATATATATTGTTCAAATAGATGGCCCGCCCAGCGATGTTTGTTGCTGTATAAACCCCATTAAGTTATGTTCACCAAGTTAGTTAAATATGGGGCACCACCTTGTAGATTGTAAAATCCCATCACCATGGATGTTTTGATGGGATAATTGTGATTTAGAGGGGTTTGAAGTTTGAAGACTATTTAATCGGATATATATATATATATGTATATATATATACTATACATATATATATATACATACAGTAATCAAATCATAGCATAGCATCCTCCAGAGAATGATCCAAGCCGCCACAGTTACAATTCTTGTTCAAATGCCATAATTGTTGTAATATTTAATCATATTTATTCCTATACTAATCCTATGTTTTTGGCATTTTGTCCATAGTTTAAACCCAATTATATATTTAAACATTAAAAAAAAACTATGAGTTCCTAATTGTCATTACTAGTCTATCACCGTTAATTTATTTATAGATGGAAATCATTCAACATACATGTTGGAAGACTAGATCGTTTAAACATCGACAGAGACCTTAAGCGCTGCGCTGCTCATCCAGAGGATCCAAGCCGCCCACCCGACCGAACACCAGGTTTGCCCCAACGTCTCAGTGGATCTGCTCGAGATGAAAAACATCGACCGTCCGATGCGCTCAGTGGGTATTTCTGGTTGATCAACAACGCGACAAAAAAAGGTGGTTGACTATGGTTTCATGGTTTTAATAGGGTTTAGTAAGGTTTAGTAGGGTTTCAAAATGGTTTGATAGGGTTTAATGGGGGTTAATCCATGGTTTAATCGGTTTAATGGTGGTTTTAAGTTGGTAAAATGGTGGTTGAATGGGGATTGGACCACTATTTTCTGGTGATTTAAGTCGCGATATACGTTATAAGTTGGTTAACAGAACTACAAGGTTATAAGTTGGTAAACACATCTAAAAGGTGGCGAACTACCCAGAAATCGGTTTTTCAGTAGCTTGGCTTAGTTTGCTCCAAAATGTCAATGGGGTGGGAAACAGCAGTTGACAACTTTGAAGGATGAATCACCAACTAGGTTAACTGATCCATGAAAGTTACCATCTGGTTATTTAACATAGCCATGGTATAGATGGCCCATAGACATAGATGGTTTACCTATTAAAAATAGTGATTTTCCATGGCTATGTCAAATAACCAGATGGTATATCTTGGTTGATTGGTTAAGAACTAGAGACTTACACTACCTGATGACCTGATGTGTGGTTTCTTGGGGATTTTGATAACCCATAGCCGGGAAACCAATCAACCAGATATAACTATATAACTACTATAAAGGTGGTATTTTCCATGGCTCAAGTGCGGTTTGTCTCATTTGTGAAGAATCCGACTTGTTTTCGCTGGCTAGATTTAAGATTAAGGTAGATCTTGAATCTAGTTGCTTGCGCACAGTTTGTTGGGGATAGATGGGGATAGGTACCTGTACTGGTAGACTTATCATGGCTAATTCAACTTGTCAGCGGTGGTTTTAATCGTCATATTTATTCGTACATAGTTCTTTGTCCTTATCAGATCTATACCTTTTTGTGACAAACTATCATGTGCCAATCTAAGCATCTCCAAAAACATGTGTATACGCATATACATCATATACATATATATATACCCATAATAGACACCTGCATACATAGACATCATATTTCCCGGTCAATCGTGTGTCGGAATTCCAAAGACCCCGAAAGACCAGCTGCAGGTGGCGCCAAGGACGTGAAGTTTGGACCATTGGCGCCTCAGTGCTGATGGATTGTGGCGACGTCGAAAAACCATTGGAATACCCTTTGGTTATTTAACATACAAGGTGGTGCCCCCCCAGTTATAAATTGGTTGTAAGCCCATTAACTATAGATGTATCACCAACAAAAACTATAGTTATTGGACTTATTTGCACCAACTTGGCTATCTTGGGGGCACCACCTTGTAGCCATGGTATAGATGTCCCATTTATAGATGGTTTACCTCTTGATAGCATGGTGATTTTCCATGGCTATCTAACAAATAACAGGATGGTATATGGAAAACAAAAACATTGGTTCCTAAAATGAAGGTACCTACCATATAAGGAAAATATGGAAAACCATTGGAACATATCCCATAGGATCCATGTATGGTATATATGCTAACATTTGGATACATTTGGTGGATATTCATGGTAAATGTTACCATATATAGCATACATGGATCATGGGTATTGTTCCTATATGTTTCTATATAGGAATATCATGGATATATGTTTGGGGTATGACGGGTATATAGGTATATAGTTTATATAGAAACATATGGGAGAATCATGCGAACGCAGTAGGAACATAGGAAACATGTGATTTAACCCCAAGTCTGTGTGATGGATGAAATTAGTTGATGGATAGCTAAGTTGACGGAGATAACTTGGTTAATTGTTGGCTTTTTTGGGGGGAACACATGTATACACCTGGTTGCTGGTTTGGAACATGTTTTCCATAATATATGGTATAATCCTTCCCATTGACGAACTCATATTTTTTAAGATGGGTTGAAACCACCAAGCAGTATATTATGGTATATCGTAGGGATACTTGCACAGCAACTATGGTATATAACTATAGTAGATATTTTAAACTCATCAACTATAGACGGTTAAAACCACCAACCAGTGTTGGTTTACACAACCATTTCGTAGCTCCTTAAATGGGTTATAGCGTAGCTTATAACCTTAGTTTATGGTAGATATAACCATCATTTACCAGTATTCCATGAAATCCCTTTGTATATTAATATTATTCATATATATAACTATAGTCAATGTGTTTTTAAACTAACATTATAACTGGGGGCCTCACCTTTTAGTAATCATATTTTGTATTAGTTAGTAGAAAGTGAGCAAATCATCATAAACCCTGTGGTTAGTTAACGTAGCGAACTGGACAATCACCATGTTTAGTAGGTAAATCATCATGTTTATCATCTATCAATGTGCAATTTTCCATAGCTATGTTAAATCACCAGATGGTGTATATATATATATAACTATATCACATTGGAACATTGAAATAAGAATAACTATAACTATATTACTTGGTTGCTCCAATTTAAAGATGGGAATATCATGGATATATGTCAGGGGTATGATGGGGTAATTATAGTGATTATAGTGCGAAGATACTGGTAATTTGTAAATTATGGGGATCCGACCTAGTGTAGGCAATGGGAGAACATGGATATAACCATTTCATTTCAACTATATCTGGCTGATCCAACCATGATAGTACAATGGGATACTATATCTGGCTGATCCAACCATAGGAACGTAATGGGGATGTAGTGATGATAGTGGGAAGAAGATTAGAATATTGAGGATTGGAATACTTGTGCAACGGGGATCCATGATTATTCAGGGGGCCATTGGTCAATTTAGCACGTTTTCTCCCTCCTGGGGTGGCCAGGGAGCAGTCCTATTTCTTGGGGATCTGTCGGGGCAAAAATGATGTGTAACTTCCAACTCCTGACGATATGACTTGATTTTTTTACCACCATAATTTGGACATGGAACATACCCTCTGGTAATTTACTGTAACATAGCTACTGAAAATCACCACTTCTAATAGGTAAAACAACTATAACTGGGCCATTTTCCATAGCTATGTAAACGTTTACCAGAGGGTAAACGTAATTTGATGGGATCCCATTTCAATGATTTTATATTCCTGGATATGACCCAATTGGTGGGTTCGGAATTGAGAGGTGGAGAAGCTTCGACAACATGGTTTCACCACACGAAAAAAAACGCAGCCGGGTTGTTTACATCACTGGCCGATGAGTTGTTTGGCCAAATCGTGTGCAGAATTCGGTCATATCCCACTGGAAGATACTCTCTGGTAAACATACAAAAAACTATGGGAAATCACCATTTTTAATGGGAAAACTCACTATAAATGGTCATGTTCCACAACTATAACTGGTTGGTGGTTTGGAACATGGCTGGATTATGAATCTCCATATCTTGGGAATGTCATCATCCCAACTGACGAACTCCATCATTTTTCAGCGGGGTAGGGCTCAACCACCAACCAGATAAAGAGGGCTATTGCGGCTTGGTGCAATGGCCGGAAGGTCACCATGAATGAGCCCCAATGCACTTCCTAAAAGTTGTAACATGTTGTAATTGTTGATCCAGATGTGTGGTTCAATCCTGAAAATTCTCATGAATGTTGTTCGATTCCCACCAAATCCCAATGTTTATTAGGGTATGTCTGAAAATGGGGTATACCCCCAACTATAGCCATTTAGTAGGGATAATGATCATTAACCATTGGGTGTAGGGGTACACTATTTTCAGACAAACCCATTAGATCTCATTGTTGATTTCTTGATCGCATGTTTATTTTCTCAGTTTCATTTCGAGTTTCTCATATTTTCTCATAAGCCATGATCATCATGCCCATGTGCTCCATGGTGCTGGAATATTTACCTACATGACTGGGCCATAAATATGGGGTAAATGTAGGTGTGCATATACCAGCACCCACAGGATCCATATATGCCAATGTATGCTATATATGGTGTGCCATGGATCCCATCAATATACCCCAGTCATGTTAGCATTTTTCTACCAGCACCGTTAGGATCCGTCATGGGTCATGATCTTCACCCAAAATCACCGCGATTTCAGGTGCTGACCCCAGATGAGGAAGAAGACAACGGCTTCGAAGGCGGTGTCTTGAGCAGTCCGGGAAACCCAGGCGAAGCGGCGAAGCCGCAGCATGGCGACCAGTCGGGGGTGCACCCGAGTGCAAAACGAGCAAAAAATGGTGAGTTAAGCAACGCAAATGGTGATTGAACCAGGAAAAACATGGAAAAATGATGATTTTAATAGATTTTTAATGGTGATTTAAGCAACAATCAATGGTAAGATCACCAACATGAGGATAGAGATGGGAGGTCATAAACCAACTCAGAAGTGGGGGGGCACCGCCTTGTATGATTATATAATGGAAAACTCATCTATAAATGAGTAACCATTCCATGTTTAGATATTCTGAGTCATACTCTCGTCCTGGATTTTAGTTGATTAGGGGATTACATGCCGCGAAGATTTTCTGGTTGGTGGTTTGGAACATGGCTTTCATGAATTTCCATATATTGGGAATAATCAGTCCAACTGACTTTCATATTTTTCAGAGGGGCAGATATACCACCAACCAGGTTTGTTGGATCACTACTCATCTTAGTCAGGTTCAATGCCACAAAAGCATATGCTTTAAGCTGGGCAACTCACGTGATAACTCAATGGATTGGCTTCATTGAAAAGAGCCCTTGGAAGACAATCCCACTAACTGATTAGTAACCATAGGTGTATGTAATTGTATGTATATACATATTATATATATATGTATAGACGTAATTATAACCCGCTTATATTCCATAGTTATATCGTATAATTTTACTCTAGTTATACATATTCATGCGCATAATATACATATAGGATAAGCCATGATAAACCCATTGAATAGAATCAATATATGATATGAATAATAGAATATAATATTACCATATATGATATATAAACGGATAAACCAATATAATATATATATATATATATGCATAATATACATATAGAATGGTGAATCCAAACAGTTTTGGATGGCTTCAGCCGACAGCCGACAAAAACCGAGGTGTGGGACCTTTCTACGCCAGTTGCCCCTGCGGTGTGACACTTAAAAAACGCTTTCCGGGTGACTCACCCGGGCGGTTTTTAGAACGGTAACGGTAACAGGGGAACATCACTATTGTTAAGAAAGGTAAATTTGTAAATCATCCATAAATGCACCAAAATTACTATGGTTTATAACTATGGTTGATAACTCCAATAGCTATGGTTTATGGTAGATATATCTATACTATATTGGTTATATAATGTTATATATAAATATATGAAGGATAACATGTGGGTTGATAGTGGGTTAATAATGGGTTAATAGTGATTATATATATATAAATACTGGTTGGTGGTTTCAAATATGGCTTTTATTTTCCATATATGGGATGTCATCCTTCCCATTGACGAACTCCATCATTTTCAAGATGAGTAGGTCAACCACCAACCAGGTATGGCCCATGGAACATCGTGATTTCACAATAGTGATGTTCCAATGGTATTTAAAAGAACTATGGAAAATCACCATTGTTAAGAACGGTAAATTATTTGTAAATCATCCATAAACGGACCATGTGTCTGCCATTTAGAGGTGAGATTTCCCCTTTTTAAGGATAATGTTACGCTTATGGTTCTGAACAGTCATGGGATGAAAGAACCCCTGCAACCACTTCAATTAGGTTTTCTGAGCCAGTGAAATAACTGGTTTATAGGGCCATTTTTTTCGTGTAGGAAGTGGGTTGCAAGCCACGCAATATCGAGTTATATGCCACCAAAGCAGTTGAAGAAATCTCCATGGTCCATGTCAGTGGTGGAACTTGATGCGATTGGTAAACTTATGTTTTTTTTTTGCTGTGTATGGCTTGGTTCCAGCTAGATTTAGGGAAAGAAATATGGTATGTATATGTATATATATATATATTTATTTATTTATATATTTAGTATTTATGTATTTATATTTTTTAATTTATTTATACCCTCCCGAAATTAAACATGGCAGCCGGTGGAAAAGCCTTGCATTTTTGGCATGGAGGTTTTGATTGGCAATAGATTGCAGATAGTCTTCCACAAATTGTTATATTTTTTTAGATACCTGGGCGTAGATCTTGATAATTATATGATATTCATTGAATGGAGATGTAAATATTGAATGCTTGATATAATAATCTGATTGGTGGTTTGGAACATGTTTTATTTTTCCACATATTGGGAATAATCATCCCAACTGACTATTTTTTTTCAGAGGGGTTGAAACCACCAACTAGTAAAATGGGAATTTCAGGATCCTAAAATGGAGGTACTGTACCATATAAGGCCATATTTTCTGGGAATATTCCAATTTAGGATCCTGGAATGGCCATTGAAAATTATATCCAATATATTACAGATGTGAATAGAAATCCCTCAGAAATTGGCTATTGTCGGGACCTCGGTCGAATCACCTGGCCTTTTTGCACTTCTAGTAGTAGAGCCCAAAATCAGCCAGCCAGTGACATTCAGCCGATGAAAACAGTGATATTATATAGATGGATAGAGAAATCTCTAATAACTTTCAGTTATACCCTCAGGTAAAATAACATAGCTATTGAAAATGGCCATAGAAATAGTGGATTTACCGTTAAAAAAAACGGTGATTTTCCATCGTTATATTAGTTTACCGGAGGGTAACAGCACTTTTCACTGACCATCACTGATTATAGCTGTTGTAGATTCCGTTGGAACTTAATAGTACAGATGATTGAAATTCCCATCTCACAATCATTGCCAAGAGATAGACTTTACAAGCTAGAGCCCCCCAAACAATAGCAAAGTTGGTTTATCAGTTTGTTTATAACTCCTTTGTTATGCTGGGGTTGGTAGATACATCAAACTACTTGGTTACTTTGTTACTTAATGGGCTTTATAGTAGCTATATCGAACTACTTTTAATGGGGGTTATTTTTTTAACCAACAGTCGCTTACCACGTTTGGGTAGATGGATAGATGTTTCCGGGGTCATGGGGATACCACAATAGCTGGATGGTTTATTTTCTGGAAAATCCTATGAGAGAGGGGATGTTTTGGTGGTTCTTCCGTGACTCTTGTGATTTTCCTTGCAACGAACACAGCCCTGTGACGCCATCCGGATCTCTGATTCCTCTACATGCCTCGGAAAAGATGTGCATGTGCATCTCGCCCCTGAAGCTTTCTGCAGCGATGATGAGTCGATCTTTTGGTGCGGCTTCAATCAAGGTTCAAAGGCCAATGGGTCCAAGCTTCTTCTTGGTGTGCCTCTGGCTCTGCATCACTTGGCGAAGGTGCAGCAAGAAAGCAACACAGAGCTGCACCTGATCGGCAAGAAACTAAATTGCCTCGAGAGCCGCTGTGCAGCTTGGCACAGATTTGGTGAAGTCAGATAGCTCCAGGCATCCATTGGACTACAATAATGAAATAGTTAGGTTCCATGATTTTTGTTTTATGACAGTTATGTCCATTCCCATTATGTAGCAATAGGAATACCATTATGTAGATTTCCATTGCACACACTCCAGGTTTCTGCAGTTATTTCTGGCTCATACTGTATCCTATTAGAATATACTAGAACAACACCATTAGTCTTCAATGACCTGCCAGTGAAAAAATGTCACCCACTGACCAGGCATGAAAAACTGTGCCCTGCGATGATTTGATGAGGTTGGGATTTCTCCTTCTACCATGTCCTCATTCAGCCAGTTGGGTCCACTCAGATGGGCCAAACCGATGGTGAAGATCAGTCCTTCATGGGCGCCACGAAGGAGACGAGGTGCTACTTTCTACTTCGCTAAGTTGGTTTACAACTCATGGTTAACATGGTTTATGGATGTTTGTGGTATGTTTTATCATGTTTCATATCTATCATTAAGATATTTGGGGGGTGAACAAAAACAACTTAGATATAACATGATAAAACTGGGGCGGCACCGCAACCAGCATGTTTGATTTCTGATAGTTCGACGAAATGGGAAACACTTCCGGTTGGAGCTGGTGTTTTTGTGGTCCCCATGGTTTGATTTTACGACCGACCTAAGGATTTTGGGGAACTGTCAGTGTCCATCCAAACATCAATGATTTGATTTATAGAGACCGAACATCATTTCATCCACCCTCTGGTAATTTAACTTAACAAATTGGACAATCACCATGTTCAAGAACGATAAATCATCATCGTTATCATGTATTTCTATGGGTCATGGGCTCCATAGCCAACTGTTACATAACATTGAATAAGCAAAGGGTAAGATCTTGCAATGACGACCAAAACCCTGGCCGACCTGACCATAGATTGTATTTTTGTTTGTTGTTGTTTCGGGGATAGCAACTTGAAATTATGGTTTATTTATCATGTATTTCGGGTTGGAGAATTATGAGATGAATTATGATACTGTTTATTATTATGCTTTACTTTGAATTTCCAAGATAAGTGACGCACATTCGCTAGGAACTCGGTATCGATATACCCAAAGCTTTTGATCCTGTGTAGCATCCAAGTCGTCCCCTGTTCATTGTAAGATGGACTAAGGATACTACCTACTACATGGAGGTCTTGTCTCTGCCTGAAAACTTCAAGTTCGACGCTCAGTTTTCCGCTCTTCATTCTGGGACTCGGACCATGGAAAACTGCCATGAGCTGACAATGTAAGGTGGTAAAGCCAATGCCGTAGTCACAATCCAATTAAACAACCATATGTGAAGGCGTAAACCCAAATTCAAAACCTCTATTTTTGGTGGTTTGTTATTGGCTTATTTCGGTTTGACAGGGCCACAAATAAGGAAAGCTGGAAAGCGTTTTGGAAACATTCGTGTGATAGCTCGCAAGAAAACTGAAAGCGGAAAACACCGGTGGAAGAAGGTTCGCCAATTCTGGGTTGCCCACTTTGCGCTCAAAACCAGATTGCGTACCTACAATAGCTCAGTATATTCAGCTGCGTCTCTACAACCAGGGTTTGCCCCAGGCCAAAGTGGACTTGGCAAGCTCAAAGAGCTGCGCAGGTTGACTATGTGGTTGCGAGGACGCCAATCCAGAATTATCGAGAGTTCAGACAGAAGTGCCTGGTCAGAATCACACAACCACTCAAGCTTGTCCTTGTTTCACTCCATGTTGGCCGGCACCGTCAACTTGCCTCCTGATGAATTCTCTGAGATGTTCTCACATATGAAGGCTGGCATAGACGGATCCTCAAAGTTTGTGTACTCCAATGCGAAGAAGAGTCCAGCAGCTGTCTTTCGAGTTCTCTCTGGCAGTGTTACTTTCCAAGGATCCCTCCTACCTTAATGAAATTATTTCAGGGGGGGTTACCCTCCAAAATATTTTTTTGAAAATAATTTCAAAAATCAAACATGTTGGATGTATAGATTTATAGACTCTAACCATCACCAAAATAATTTCTGGTTGGAAATTATTTTGATGGGTTACCCCCCCTCAAAATAATTTTGACGAAAACGCTCTCACAGCAAAAAAATATTTCAAAATAATTTTGGTGTTTGACCTTGTTTTGATCCGATGGCATATTCCACCTTTGGATGAAGGAATGTCGTACACTCAAGTTTCTGCAGGCTGTGTTCACACAGCACTTCTTCGCAGTGATGGCAGTGTTGTAACTTTCGGAGGAAACGATGTAGAACAATGCGATATCCCATCTTGCGCAATGTTGGACTTGCAAAAGTGGCTTATTATGTTTTAGGTCTTTTGTTTGTTTAGGATTGATGCGTTGCGAATCCTACAACGCAAATAATTCCAACATCATGTTTCATGTGTGCTCCCTGGTAGTCATGTTAGAATCTCCCCTCAATCTTAAGTTGCAGCAAGAACGCATGAAAACTTGCAACTCGAAACCAAACTCGTTCTTTAAGAAATTATTCAAAGGATCTTGGAGATGCCCTGCATTCCTCAAAAATCAAAGTGGGAAGCTGCCAGAACCATCCAACTTGCCCATAAACTGGAAACAAACGAAAAACCTATCAAAACCGAACGCTTCCCAAAAAAGAGTTCTTTGGAGGGAAATGACGGGAATATGGGAGAAATAATGGGAAATATGACAGGTTAGGAAAATCACTACAGGAAAGGGCCAGGTTGAATACTATTTTGTGGTATTTCCCACGGGGAGAAATTATTCTAGGGGTATTGGAGATACCCTGCACTCCTCAAAAACCAAAGTGAGCAGCTGCCAGAACCATCCAATTCGCCCAGAAACTGGAAAAAAATGAAAAACCTATCAAAACCGAACGCTTCCCAAAAAAGAGTTCTTTGGAGGGAAATGAAGGGAATATGGGAGAAAGAGGGAAAAACATGAAAGGTTATGAAAAACACTACAGGAAAGGGCCAGGTTGAATACTATTTTGTGGGATTTCCCAAGGGGAGAAATTATTCTAGGGGTATTGGAGATGCCTTGCACTTCCCAAAATTCAAAGTGAGCAGCTGCCAGAACCATCCAACTCGCCCATAAACTGGAAACAAATGAAAAACCTATCAAAACCGAACGCTTCCCAAAAAAGAGTTCTTTGGAGGGAAATGAACGGAATATGGAAGACGAAAAAGGAAATATGACAGGTTATGAAAAACACTACAGGAAAGGGCCAGGTTGAATACTATTTTGTGGTATTTCCCAAGTGGAGAAATTATTTTAGGGGTACTGGAGATACCCTGCACTCCTCAAAAATCAAAGTGAGCAGCTGCCAGAACCATCCAACTCGCCCATAAAATGGAAAAACAATGAAAAACCTATCAAAACCGAACGCTTCCCAAAAAAGAGTTCTTTGGAGGGAAATGAAAGGAATATGGAAGACGAAAAAGGAAATATGACAGGTTATGAAAAACACTACAGGAAAGGGCCAGGTTGAATACTATTTTGTGGGATTTCCCAAGAGAAGAAATTATTCTAGGGGTAGTGGAGATATCCTGCACTTCCCAAAAATCAAAATGAGCAGTTGCCAGAACCATCCAATTCGCCCAGAAACTGGAAAAAAATGAAAAACCTATCAAAACCGAACGCTTCCCAAAAAAGAGTTCTTTGGAGGGAAATGAAGGGAATATGGGAGAAATAATGGGAAATATGACAGGTTAGGAAAATCACTACAGGAAAGGGCCAGGTTGAATACTATTTTGTGGGATTTCCCAAGGGGAGAAATTATTCTAGGGGTAGTGGAGATACCCTGCACTCCTCAAAAATCAAAGTGAGCAGCTGCCAGCTGAAAAAAAACTATAAACACCGAATGCTTTCCCTTTCACAGTCATTCCCACCGAGTGTTCTTCGGAAGGACATGAAGGGAATGTGAGAGAAATGTGGGGAAGTATGAAAAAATGGAAATATGTAGGAAAGAGCCAGTGATGAAGATGATGGTTGAACATCATTTTGCGGGAATCCCCAAGTTTTTTCCCCACCTGCCAGGTGAGGGTTGTTAGATTTTATGTCAGTTGCCTGCTCCTCTCCTCCTCTCCTCTCCTCCTCCTCCTGCTCAACCGCGACCCTCGACGCACAGTGTTCTCTGTGCCGGACCTCAACCACGACCATCCACGCCCAGTGTTCCCTGCCGGACCTCAACCACGACCATCCCCGCCCAGTGTTCCCTGCCGGACCTCAACCACGACCATCCACGCCCAGTGTTCCCTGCCGGACCTCAACCGCGAGTATCCACGCCAAGTGTTCCCTGCCGGACCTCATGTAGGAAGATATGGGACAAAGCCTCAATGTGCAGAAGAAATGTCAGATAGAATGCCAGAAAAGATAAGATATGCCAGATAGAATGCCAGAAGATATGCCAGATAGAATGCCAGAAGATATGCCAGATAGAATGCCAGAAGGTATGCCAGAGAGAATGCCAGATAAAATGCCAGATAGAATGACAGAAGATATGCCAGATAAAGTGCCAGAATGTTTGCCAGATAGAATGCCAGAAGATTTGCCAGATAATATGCCAGAAGATATGCCAGATAGAAAGCTATAAGATATGCCAGATAGAATGCCAGAAGATATGCCAGATAGAATGCCAGAAGATATGCCAGATAGAATGCCAGAAGGTATGCCAGAGAGAATGCCAGATAAAATGTCAGATAGAATGCCAGAAGATATGCCAGATAAAGTGCCAGAATGTTTGCCAGATAGAATGTCAGAAGATTTGCCAGACAATATGCCAGACGATATGCCAGATAGAATGCCAGAAGATATGCCAGAAGATATGCCAGGTAGAATGCCAGAAGATATGCCAGATAGAATGCCAGAATATATGCCAGATAGAATGCCAGAAGGTATGCCAGATAGAATGCCAGATAAAATGTCAGATAGAATGCCAGAAGATTTGCCAGTAACAAAATGTATTAAATGTCATGGTGGGGATCACACGAAGTAAAGTATTTTTAAAAAAAACAAAAAAATGTTCAACCATTTAATTTAGATGAAATTATTTTCAAAACATAGTTATTCCAGGGTATATTGAAGGCTTAGATTATAACTCGCATATTCCAATATGTACATCCGTAGGCCCACTGCTTAGGAAAATTATTCAACAACATGTTTTCTTTAAACATATTCCAAAACCTGGTTGATACCCCCGCATTTTTCTTGAAGTTTTGAAGGGATGGAATATCCCCGGTACACCTGCGAAGGCGATCATGTCGGGTAGGTGGGGGGTCCCAAAGTATACATATGTAAAGATTGGAGTCTCCGGAGGGGGGCAAAATAATTAACGCCCCAGGGGTTGAAATAATTTTTACGAAGGTTCACCACCGTCGATGAAGGGGAGGGGGGAGGTTTATCGTAAGAAATTATTTTACCCTAAAGAGGGTTGTTTCGTATAACAACCGAAGACACTATCAACCCCTGAAAATAATTTTGGAAATTATTTTGAGGGGGGGAGGGGGGGGTAGTTTAGGTAGGGTAGATATTGGCTTTACAGCTTCACTTATTAGTTAAATGTTTGTGTCCACTGTATATGCTATTGTTATTATCATTCATTTTGTTTATGGGAATATCGCTTGCTGATTGATTTTGGTTGGGTCCCAGAATAGGGCTACCAAAAAAATCGTTAATTTCCATAGTAAACATGACCAATACTTCAAGATGGTGCCCCATAGTTAGCGAAGTTGACGGACATAATTTGTTTAACCTTTGGGTTTATGGGAAATATTGGGAAATACCACTCTAGTAAAAATGGCGTTTTAGTTGTTAATATAAATGATAATGTCTATATATATATATAATTTCTGGTTTGTGGTTTGGAACATGGCTTTTATTCCCCACCTGCCAGGTGAGGATTGTTAGATTTTATCAGAGTTGTTTTTCTCCTTCTTCTCCTCCTCTTCCTCCTCCTCCTTCACCACCTCTGCCTCCACTTCCATGTTCACTTCCGCCTTGCCAACTCTTCGCCAAGCTCTTCGCCAACTTCCGCACGCAGTGGGCACTGCTGGACCTCAACTGCAAGGGTCTGAGCGCACTGGGCACTGCTGGACCTCAACCTGGGGCCGTCTGAGCTCAGTGAGAACCGCTGGACCTCAACCTGGGACCGTCCGAGCTCAGTGAGCACTGCTGGACCTCAACCTGGGACCCTCCGAGCTCAGTGAGCACCGCTGGACCTCAACCTGGGACCCTCCGAGCTCAGTGAGCACCGCTGGCCCTCAACGGCCAGATAGAATGCCAGAAGATATGCCAGATAGAACGCCAGATAGCATGTCAGATAGAATGCCAGAAGATATGCCAGATAAAATGCCAGAAGATATGCCAGATAGAATGCCAGAAGATATGCCAGATAGAATGCCAGAAGGTATGCCAGATAAAGTGCCAGAATGTTTGCCAGATAGAATGCCAGAAGATTTGCCAGATAGAATGCCAGATAGGATGTCAGAAGATATGCCAGAAGATATGCCAGAAGATATGCCAGATAGAATGCCAGAAGATTTGCCAGTAACAAGACGTATAAATGTCATGGTGGGGATAACTCGAAGTAAAGTAATTTTCCATATCTTGGGAATTTCATAATCCCAACTGACGAACTCATATTTTTCAGAAAGGAAGGTGTACTATCAACCAGATATCATTTTCCCTATGTTAACCATATCATGTTTCCTATTTTTTACTTTAACCAGGGATTTCCCAGCCACGTTTGGTGACACCTTGTTTGGACTATTTTTTTTGGGCACCCCCATCTTTGGAAACAGAAGGTGGAAACACCCCAGTGATGTGATCCCAGTGGTTAAAAAAACAACAACAACCTGCATCGAACTATAGATGGATTTAGATCTGTATATATATATATATGTGTGTTTTGTTTATTTAACGTAGTATAAATGATATAATTTAGTAGTATATATCATAGATGTATATAGATGATCTAGATATATATGCATATGTATATATATATAAAAAAAACATATCATCAATCCCAGCTAAACTAAATATTACACCAACTTAGCTAAGTATACGAAGTATGGATCAATGACCAATTCCCTTCATGGTGCGTCATCTGATGCACCCGGAGGTTGCGCTATTGGAACCCTAATCCCACGGATGTGCGGAAACCAAGCGATGGTTAGTGGGTGATGGTTACCCTCTGGTAAACGTTTACCAAAAACTGATGTTACAGTGGATTTCCCCATTAAAAATTGTGATTTTCCATACATAACTATGGAAAATCACCATGGTATTAATGGGTAAATCCACGGTTTCTATGGGGTATTTTCAATAGCAAACTGTTAGTTTACCAGAGGGTAGGATGTGTACTGCTCAAGATGACTTGTGTCGTTTCTGGAAAGAAAACAAACTGTTTACATCAAAACCAAGGACAGATTGTCCTGAAAAAAATCAAAAATCCCTAAAAAGGTGGATGATGTTAATTTACCCTTCCACAGTTCTTACTTGAAGATTATATTCTTGTTGGTGGATTGGAATTTCATATATTGGGAATATTCATCCCAACTGACTTGCATAGTTTTCAGAGGGGTCCAAACCACCAACCAGTATTCCCAATCCAACGTTTTTTTTCCAATAGCTATGTTCCATTGCTGGAGGCTGGACATGAGCACCTTGAATCGGTGAAGCCAAGAAGCAACCGAAGCAAAACGATGGGTCAGTTCACCCTACAGATGATCTAAGTTTCAACTTAGCCATGAAACCGACGAAACCATAGGAAACCATAGGAAAAATGGTGATTTAAGCAACATAAATGGTAGTAGAATGGGAATATCATGTTAATTTAATGGAGGGTAATATAAATATACACTCTGGTAATTTGTTTTAGTTTGCTATTGAAAATGCCCATTTAGTTCGTTGATTTAACCATCAAAAATGGTGATTTTCCATAGTTTTTATGTAAGCGTTTACCCGAGGGTAGAAAATTTAGTCCATTCAGAATTCAGTTTACTTATTACGCATAAACTATCATTCCATTATAAACAAAAAACAATTTTAGCGTTGAATTATCATGTTGGGCATCCGAAACAAAAAACAACGTCTCATATCTATATACGTATATACCCATAGGATCCATGTATGCTATATATAGTAACATGGATCCCATGAATATACCCCATTTATGTTAGCATATATACCATACATGGATCCTATGGTGTATATATATATATATGAGTTGATCAGCAGCCACACCTACCACCTTGGCACTAAAGAGTGCTCCGACGACCTCAAATATCAAGTGGTTGGAAGCCCCCAAATATCGGCTGCCCCGACAACGACGTTTGGAGCTATGTGCCCAAGGTGGAGGATGCACTCGTGCTTACCAAACGGCTACAAAGCTGGCGACTGGTTGAGTTATCGGATACGGCTGACTACGTCAAGAACTGTTGGGCGGCGCTTCGCCCGTTGCGAGATTTGCCCTGGGAGCAAGCAGTATGCACAGCAGCGTAGCGATGGCTTCTATGCGCCGCCTGGATTTATCCCAAAGTTCCCGGAGCCGAAAAAGTGGTATCAGAGGCAAGCAGGGAGCAACTTTCACCACAGGCCCTTTCATCCTGACCAGCTCAAACGACTTCGAATCCTGGTCAGACTAAGTGAGGCACTCTCATTTGAGGCTTTGAACACAGTCCAGGACTGGTTTTTTGTTGATCTTATGCTGCAGGATAATGAGATTCCGCCAACTGTAGGCGACCTACTCTTTTTTACCATCAATGCAGTAGGGAGGGATCATAGTTTGACTAATCTACACTGATAGGGGAACATGATTAGTATGTTTTCTGGTTTGTGGTTGTGTTTTCATGATTATATGCCCAATAGTTGGGTGATGGTCAATTCGGACATTTACCAATCCATGAACATGTTCAACAATCCCAACTACTAATGATTGGTAAATGTCCCAAATACAGCCAGGTATAGCAACTATTCATGGTATTTCATGACTACAATTGATGATTATAAACATGGTTTCCAAAAAATATTATGATTGCTAAATTGCTAAATGTCTCAAATTAAATCCATTTATGCCAACTATACATGATATATAAACATGCTATAAACCCAAGTGTTGGTTCCTTGTTTTCTTCGTTAAGCCCCCCCAAAGGTCTCGGTCACCTGAGTCACCTGGCCGTTTCGCGATACGGCAGTCCGTGCTGCTGGAGATCTTCTATCCGGATAGTCGCGGAGTGAACGTCTTCGTGGGTGGAGCCAAAACGCCTGATATGGCGCTGAAGCTGGTCCGGGACACCCAGATATGGATGTGTCTGAAAATAGGGTCAATACCTTTAAATCCATTGGTGAATCGTCATTTTCAATATTTTAAGTACCATAACCGGGGGGTATACACTATTTTCAGACAGACCCATATGATGGATATGAGCCTGGGGTAAACATATGTAAACAAGATGTGGTGTTGATGGGATACTAATGGAATGGATATGTAATATGCATGGTAAATATGAATGATGGTACATATTAATGTTAATGTCTAATACTAGGGGGGTAAACATACAGAGAAGATGTGGAAAAACCATGAAAGGCAATGGAGAATCCCTGGGACAATTTTGCCCTGGGGGATGACAAGTGTTGCCCATATCGCTAAGTCGCTAAGTTGGTGAACATTTGCCTAGGTTAATCAACTGTGGTTTATGGTAGATATTGGTAGAAATATCGAACTAGCTAATGGGGGTTATAGGGAAGTTGATTGGATATGATTGGTTATGATTGGATATCAAAATTTGTTGATTTGATACTAATATTGATTTGATGTTAGTTGAATAGTAATAGAATAGTCATGGAATACTAGTTGAATACATATTAATTGTACTAGTGATTTGTATGGAATGTTGATTTTCATGGAATGTTGACTGGATGTAAACAAATTGAGAATCCTGTCACTAAAAATGTTAATGGACTATTATTTGGTAAGACAACTACTCTTTATGGGATTTCAAAGGTTAGTGGAAGTTTATTGGAATTTGGAATATTAATAAGTTTGAAAAATTGCTATTTGGTTGGGGGGTTGGATTTGACACAAGGCGAGGCCCCCGTTTACGATAGCCATCCGATTAAGAGGCGAGACCCCTTCGCAAGAAAGCTGAAACAAATCATAGGATGATCGATGTTCTCTAGTCATGATGCGATGAAGATAATGGAGGCAGATTGGGAACACATATCCAATATTAGTATGATTGGAAATGATTCTATATTATTTTTTGTTGATTTGATTTGATACTAATTACTGTTTGATTTTGTCACATGTTATCATGTTTACCTGTTTACCAACCAAACATATATTTGTCGAAGATCAAGGTCATCACAGCGCCCAAAAAATGGGAAGACAATGGCTATTAGCAGCCAATGTACTTGTCGTGAGCAGCAACGCCCAGTGATTTGCTCACAGTCCCGTATGGAACTTCCATTCCACATGTTTATTTTCATGATCCTTTGATAATTTACCCTCCAGTAACTAAACATAGACCCTGAAAATCCTGAAAGCAAACCATGTTGAGTGGAAACTGACAGTAACTAAACATAGACCCTGATAATCCTGAAAGCAAACCATTTTGAGTGGAAACTGACAGTAACTAAACATAGACCCTGAGAATCCTGAAAGCAAACCATTTTGAGTGGAAACTGACAGTAACTAAACGTAGACCCTGAGAATCCTGAAAGCAAACCATTTTGAGTGGAAACTGACAGTCAATAAACATAGACCCTGAAAATCCTGAAAACACATCATTTTTAGTGGAAACATATCTTCCAACCCCGATGACTGCCAGGATCTATGTTAATTTACACGAGGGTAACAGTTTGACAGTTTGCGAACTGGAAAATCACCATTTTTCAGAACGGTGAATTATCCATAAATGGACCAAGTTCAATAGTCATGTTAGATTTTCCGAGGTTATGCACATGTCTGATCTCTTAAAAGCTTTTTCGGAACACCAAGCATTCAGTGAATCACCATCCCGACAGTGGCCGCCAAACTATCTATTGCAGTCGTAGGACGAGATCACAACAGCTGTTCCTAGCAGGGCGCGCAATGCGCAGTAGCCATCTATAGCCTATAGCCTTGTTCCAGACAGTCAGAAGTCCCGCAAACTCACAGGGTGAGGCCAGCCGGTCATAAGTTGGTTTATAAGTCCACTAACATCCATTCGCTCTATAGTTACCCTCTGGTAAACATACAAAAAGCTATGGAAAATCACAATTTTTAATGGGAAAATCCACTATTTCTATGGCCATTTTCAATAGCTATGTTAAATTACCAGAGGGTAAATCCCCCATGAACCTAACAGTTGACCAAATTATAAGTAAATTTTGCTAGCGTAAACGGGTGCCTTACCTTGCAACTTCAGACGATTTGCGGGAAGTTCTGTATTTTAAGGTATATTGAAGGTATGTGGTTTTCACCATCAAATCCTGAGATTTCTTGAAAATAATCCCGGAAATCTATTGAATCCAACGCTAAGCAATACGGAGTCTCAACACTTAGACAAAGCAGGTGAGTAAAGCCATTGTGACAACACATTAGTTTGAACTTATGATGATTCTTTGCTGATCATGTTTGGTTTCTACAGGCTGTCTTCGATCAATCCACAGTAGCATATTGGAACACGAGTTGTGTCGAAGGAGACCAAACTAGATTTAGCAGGAGGTTTAAGAGTTTTATACTGCTACGTTTCCCTTTAACTTATCAAAAGTTGTTAAGATACTGCAACAGTTGAGTAAGAACCATGTAAGTAAATGCATATTTAAAGTTGGTCCACAAACCCATGAATTATAGTTACATCCCACACAAACCCTTCTTAGCCAACTTATGTGAATCAAGTTAGCTAAGTTAGCTATCTACAGTTTTGGCCACAGTTATAAATGGGATTATAAGTCCTGAAGATTTCTGAGCCAGCTATATTGGCTTTTAAGGCGAAACATGACAGTCAAGCTGGCCATCATAAACCAGCCATTTGTCAATGCCTTTAACAAAGTTGGTTGCATCATAAAGCTGGTTGGTGGTTTGGAACATGGCTTTTATGAATTTCCATTCAGTTGGGAATTTCATAATCCCCACTGACGAAGTCCATCATTTTTCAGAGGGGTAGGGCTCAACCACCAACCAGATATGGGTATGGATCAATACCCATTAATACCATGTTTAGGGGGATGAACATCCATTTACCAGCTATTTTGATGTTCACCAGGGGTACAAGGTCTTGACACACTGCCATATCATTTTCCCTATCTTAAATCTTAACCATATCATTTTTCCTATTTTCCTTACTTTAACCAGGGATTTCCCAGCCACGTTTGGTGACACCTTGTTTGGATTTTTTTTTGCCCCCCAGTAAAGCTAGCAATCATCAATGAGTTTTATGTTCGACATAAATCAGGATGGTGATATCACTGAACCGTTGCATCCCCATTCAACATCATTAAAGCATCATTCAAGCCCATTGGTGATTGAATACCATTAAGCCATATTAAACCCCTGGTGAAATGCCATTTCTGGGCCAGTTAACCTATAGCCATCATAAATTAGCTATATCAGCTATAAATCCTGGTTGGTTGTTTGGAACATTTTTATTTGTTTCCATTCATTTGGGAATTTCATAGTCCCAACTGACGAAATCCATCATTTTTCAGCGGGGTAGGGCTCAACCACCAACCAGTTATGTGTGGGATAATCCAACTTACGATACTAACTACAGGGTTAGCATGGGTTAGCCAAGCCACTTACTAAATGGGACGATTACAGGGTTGAAACCACCAGCCAGCCAAACACCGTGATTTTCCATATGGATCCATGTGGTGATTTCCATAAATGGAGGTACCCCAATAGCTATATCAGCTATAACTCCCATTGCATCAGCCCATGTCAGGGCCGAAAGCCCACGCTGGACGATCCGTGGGGCTGCCGATGGGACGACCGATGGAATTTCATGGTGTTGTTGTGTGTTTTTAACGTGGGAAAATAATGATATGGACAGATGGAAAATCTATGGGACATGATGGGAATCGATGGGAAATCTATAGTAAAATAATATGGGACATCGGGACATCCATAAATTGGCACTGCATCATATTCCATATGGGTAAATTATAACGATCACGACCTCACTGCGACGTCACTGGGAAATCATCCCCATCCATGGCCGCAAGATTCAGGTTAGTGAGTTATTCATTTGTTTATTTGATTTACCCAGATTTATTGGCATTTCATGGTGAGTTTAAGCGGAAAATGAGAACATGAGCCAAGTCGAAGGAAGATTTGGATGGATTTATAGTTGATGTATGTTGATGTATGATATCAAAAATTGTTTTGGTACAGTAGGTTGACTGTAGTTTTCATATGTTTTCATGGTGATTACATCTATGGTTAAATGGTTGGACATAAACCAGAAAACATAACTAGGGAGCACCACTTGTAGAGCGTCAATTCCCTTGTTATACCCTGTTGTTGGTGTTATACTGATTGGATCTAATTGGTGTGTCAACGATTCTTATGTACCTCACAATACCTGGTCAAACCTTGGGTAGCTACTTAAGGACTTTCATCTCTTGCTTTATTCATTGAGGAGACATACTCACCAGCACGTTTTTTCATTTGTTTGCAGGCCATCAAAGATTGGCCATGGCAATAACGCTATATTTATTGACCAACCAGTACAATTTAATCTGGGTAAATTATAACGACCTCACTGCGACCTCACTGGAATCATGGTTAATAAGGGAATTCATCCCCTTTTATGGCCTTAATTCAGGTTAGTGAAATATTATCATTTACCCAGAATAGAATGGAATGGTGGACGATAGTGGTATTTTGACATGGCTCAACCCAGCTTCACCGTGCTTTCAAATTTTGGGCTAGATATCCTTTTCAAGGCTGTGGCGTCGCTTACCGGTGTCATCAAACATGGCTGCTGGGAAATCCTCGCACTAGCCATGGAGGGTTCCTTTGCTTGGAAAATCATCGAGAAATGGAGAATTTTCCAGCCATGTTTGATAACCTACCCTCTGGTAAACGTTTACATAGCTATTGAAAATGGCCATAGAAATAGTGGATTTATCCATTAAACATGGTGATTTTCCATACATTGGGAATAATGATCCCAATTTTCACTTTCATATTTTTCAGAGGGGTAGGTCAACCGCCAACCAGTAGTCTGAATGCTTTGGAGAAACTCTCGTCTGAGTACTGCTCTCAACTTCGACTTGGAGGTGTACCTTCGACCAGGCTGCTGCAGTGTCTGCATCCAACTTTCTGAAGACACCTCCCAACAACCACACGCATGTTGAAACACCAGGAGAGACCCAAAGCTTTTGGACCCTGTTGGACCATAGTAAAGAGATCATAGATCATAGATGGTCATAGTGACCATGGACGATCAACTTTGGTGATAGTGTCTGATGAGGGTCCAGACATGAAATTGTAAGCAAGCTTCCTTTACAGCATCGGACTTTGCATGAGATCAGAGAAAGATGGTTCACGCCACTACGACAACACTCATTCCTGTTTTCTGTCTGATGCCTCGTATGATGGGGTGCTGGCAAAGGTCATGTTTTTGCGAGTCAATCATGGACATTGGGACAGCGGCAAAAACACTCACTCGAAAGCGGAATTCTTTGCACTGCACGATGTGGTGAAAGTGTGTGACAAGTTTTCAAAATCGGCTGAGTCATACTTTTAGATCTCCATGCTGAGGGACCACCTTGTACCTTATGCTTGAAAGTTAAAGGTTTGAAAGTCGTCAGTTTCTAGCTGTTGATGATTTTCCACACATTTGCAGAGCGATAGCATGACCTCACCACACATTTGCCATGGCCGAAGCATGCTCTACTTTCCCATATAAGGATATGCTCACCTGGCGATTAAGTTAGGGGTTAAAAGGAAGCCCATTTAGAATGGTAGGATTACTAGGGTCCCCCATTAATCGCGTAAAACATCGTATAACTTGAAATTGGAAACAAATCGCAACGGGGTGAATAAGAAAATTGCATGTGTATTTTTCATGTTTTGGTGAATCCACCAATGTTTTTTTTCCTATACGCATGTTACGATTGCAGGATCAGGATCACACCACTGAACAAAAGTTGCTTAATAACTCTACAAGGTGGTGCCCCTGTTCGGAATCGCTAAGTTGGTGCGTTCATAACTCCGATTTCACTATGGTTTATGGTACGAATTACTATAGTATTCATGGGTTTATAAACAAACTTATACTGGTTGGTGGTTTGGAACATGTTTTATTTTCCATAATGTATGGGATGTCATCCTTCCCATTGACTTTCATATTTTTCAAGATGGTTAAAACCACCAACCAGCTATAGTATTCATGGGGTTTATAAACCAACAAACATCACTGGGGGGCACCATCCTGTAGGTTTATAACTCCAATAACTTTGGTTTTATAGGTGATATATCTATAGTTAATGGGGTTTTTAAACCAACTTATACTTGGGGGGCACGACTTTGGTCGATCACTTAAGTGGGATGTCCTCCCAGTACTAGGCACGGCTCTCACGTTGTGGACGCGCAAGCACTGCGCTACTTGGAGCGGTTGGGTCGTTTTTTTAGCCATGGGAGCTGATTGCGGAATGCTTTATCAAGCAAAAATATATTCTATAATGCTACATTTAGATGACGATATTATATACGCGTAGGAACCTCCCCAAAAAGATCGAACATTAGTTTATCTCTATATAATTTAATAAAATTAGCACGGGATACTTTTTGTTTGCAACCTTTTTTCGGAACATGTGATGCGCTAGGAAGCTAGCCGTAAACAATTACGTTGCAATTTTGCCATCAGAAACAAAAACAAATATGTTAAATATGTTAAATATGTGACATGGTGTTTTCACCTGGGTTAGTAACGGTTACCCTCTGGTAATTTAACATAGCTATTGAAAATCACCATTTTTAGTGGGAAAATCCACTATAAATGGCCATTTTCAATAGCTACGTTAAATTACCAGAGGGTAACGGTTCGTATCCCATTTTGGCGGGATGATCTTTCCCAGATGGATTTTTTATTGCACACGGATTCCGAAGGCTAGATGACCTAACCTTGGCACATACCATGTTTTGAACATGGCACATATGGGTTTTGTCAAAAGCCTTGCTTCACTACTAATATGGCAATGGGTCAAAACCTTGTACCCCTGGTGAACATAAAAATTGCTGGTAAATGGATGTTCATCCCTTTAAAAATGGTATTAATAGGTATTGACTCAGACTCATAGCCATATAAAAAATACTGCTTGGTGGTGACTGGAACATGGCTTTTATATGCTGAAATATGTTCCATTTCATATATGGGATGTCATCCGAAACCCATTGACGAACTCCATCATTTTTCAAGATGGTTAAAACCACCAACGGGATATAACCATAAATTAACTGATAGATATTAACTATACATTAAGTATATGCACTACAAATACTATAGGTTTTAACCCTCGTGGCAATCCAATCTTGCAGTGGAATCATGCACTGTGACTAGCGTTTCGAAAATATGTGCATCTAAACGTTAAACCCATTGGCAGGCTAGATTGCCAACAATATCTACCTTTTAGTAAACTAACACAACTATGGAAAATGGCTCATGAGTAATTAGATGATTTACCTATCAAAAATTGTGATTTTCCATAGCTTTTTGTATGTTTACCAGAGGGTAATCCTGATTCCAAAAGGGACTGAAGGGACTGTGGCATGTGTTTCCTAAGGATTGTACGTCACCATGCGAGGATCTCAAGCTGGTTTCGACGTGGGGAGCCCTGGAAGTGCGGTGATCGGAGTAAGATCTGCAAAAAATGCAACCTGGTGCCAGTGATGTTTGGTTTATAACACCCATTAACTATAGATAATCAGGGGGTTTCCATAGATGTGGAATCCCCAATAGCTGAATGGCTTATTTCATGGAAAGAACGATATTTAACTTTGATTGGGTCCACCAAAATGATTTTTGTTGTTTGCCAAAACTCTGGTTTTTTGTTGTGCAAACAACACTCAAGAACAGCAAACTGAAAATGTCAGAATATCAATGGCCATTTCAGAATCCTCCATCTGTTGGATCCTGAAATTCCCATTGAGAATAGATGCCAGAAAACAATGTCAGAGTAGATACCAGAATCTTCAGATTCTGTGGGTGCATTGACAATCTTTGACTTCCATAAACAGTTCCAGCTCCATAGTTCTTTCTTGGATTGGAACATGTCATTTTGCTAAGGTCCAGCACCTGAGTAATCATTGGATATGAAAACATTGTTGGTTTCATGATGTTTCTTAAGATTTGTAGTTTTACATAATTGAGAATCCAATTAAAAAAACATGATCATGTCATATGCAAATATCATTCATTTTGGGGATCCCCCATTTGTGGAAACACCACATAAATGTGCTGAAAAGCAACGTTGTGTTGGCTGAGAAGCGGCCATTATTGTGTTGAGAAGCGTGGAGGTGTGAGGAGAGCTCAAAAACTCAAGGTGCCATATTTTCAAGATCTTCAAGAGGAACAACCAGGAGTTTTAAGACTATACCAATTTACTATGCACAGCTCCCAGTAAAACAGCATATGATGCAGGGGATGTGCAGGGGGTGGTGAGGACGGCTCAAAAAAATCAGGGACTTATGCCAAAATGCAGCTGCCATATATTTTATTTTATATTTAAATTGTATGTGAAAATCATACTGTTATTGGCTCCAGAAAGATTCATACTCAAATTACACCAAATTCAACTCAATCCCACCTTTTTAGTCCAAGGATGAATTTTCTCAAACGAATCTCAAATTCCCTCAATCTGCAGATCCTATTATTTATAGCTACAAATTGCAAGACATTGTTTTCTGGCTTATATTCTGACATTTTCAGTTTGCTGTTCTTGAGTGTCATTTGCAAAACAAAAAAACTAGAGTTTTGGCGAACAAAAAACATTTTGGCGGACCCAATCAAAGGTAAATTCATTAAAGTCCTATTTAAATGGATGATTTGGAGGTACCCCCATTTCAGGAAACTTCCATATATCTACCATAAACGCAATCGAATTCAGCTATATACTTGAACTATGGGGCACCACCACCTTGCTGGGAGCCAACTCTAAGAGGAATCATGAGAAAACCAGAGATTTCGTAGCTTTTAGCCAATGTTGAGAGGTCGAAGGTAAACATCAAGTGGAACTTATATATAAATTTAATAGTAAATCTTTTAAGCTATAACTGGACTCTGAGGTTTTCACCAAATCAGAGTCCAAAGTCTACGAGGCTCTTGCAGGCACCAGCTTTCTCGGTCTTGGCTATGGAGGTGCTCGCCATGGTTCGTGCCATTGCTGGCCATGTTTGGATAGTCGCCCTTTCATTCATCATCAAATGGGAATGGGTCAAAACACATAATTTCCCTTTTTCATAAGGGTGAACGTCGATGTACATCTAAAAGCAAAGGGAAATTAGAAGGTTGTTTCCCATACTCATTTCAAATTCTGTTGTGACATCACGATCCTTGTGACATGGCTATGCTTCAAGTCTGGAATATCGATCAACATTTACCCCCAGTCCCGTGTACCAGCACCATGGAGCATTGAGGATATCAATTCAATGGCTAGAACATCCCATGAATCCCAGATATGTAGATCAACTGGAGCAATGCATCGGCCAAGGCTCGCCAAGACTTAACGGTTCGGCGCACGCCCACAGTGAAACTGAAGATGAATATCGAGCCGGGACACCCGTATTTTTTCGGGGCAAGGCGAACTGGCAAGGTGGTGCTCCAGTTGGGTGGTACCCCCCAACACAAACCATGGGAAATTGGTGATTTAACATGATTTAACATGATTTAACCAACCAAAAATTGTGATTTATGGATGGATTAGTTAGCTCATTAAGATGGTGCAAATAAGTCCAATCTATCTAGAATTTATGGGGGCGGGGCTATATCTATAGTTGATGGGAATTATAAACCAGTTTATAGCTGGGTTGCACCACCCTGTACGGAACGTCCAACAAATTTGTTTGTGCTTTTAACGGGGGGCACCAAAACCATTTTTAACGTCATTTTTAATGGGAAAATATCGTGGTTTTCGGTGCCCTCAAATTGGCAATTTTCCGCCCCCATGCTAAATTGCAGTGTTTGAGGACTTTACGAACCAGCTCCAGATGAAATCTGATATGCTATAATCCAAGCATATCCAAACTATATGAGTGACATTTCTAAAATATCACAATTCACCTCACCAGTTATTTTTTCTTGGCAGGGTATCATTCAGAAATATTCAGAACCACGTTCCGGCGACAAAAAAATGCAATGTCAAGTTGGAAGATCATCTTCAAACATTATTCTTCGAGGTTGAAGCTTGTAGTTTTCAGCTGTTAGGAATCATATCCAGACAGCTGGGAAAGGCTTCGATGGATCTGTTCGAACTGTGTTATTTGCTGTGCAAATGGGATTGTTTTTACATAGAGGTTATTTCCGGATGCCTGAGCTTTGCTATGAAGATATATGAAGATCATATTATTCTCAGTACTGTTGGCAGAATTTTCTGTTCACCGATCTTAAGCTGACATGCTTTGCCGACCTTGATCTTCCCAGCGGTCGCCTTGAGGATTTCCATCGTCGAGTTCAATGGTCCTCAGTTCCAGACGAATTTGGCCATTCTGTCGCTCGACCTTACGACTGAAGCCTGGAATCAGGGTTAATGGGATTCATGATCCTACTATTAATGGGATTAATAATGATTAATGGTTTTCATTAATGATTAATATTATGATCAATAATGATTAAAAAGATGAATAAGGGGTTAATAAGATACTGTTATTAATATTTTATTATGATTAATCATGTTATTCTCAATGGGATTGATAAAGCCCTTATTCAATAACCATTGGGATTAATGATGGTTTTCATTTGTGGGGAATCATATTTTGTGTCGTGGAAGATGATAAACTGTTGTTTTTGTTTCCCACTGGGAAATCCACTGCCACTGCTTGAGGAATGCAAAGGGGAGATATAATGATATATATATATACGTACATATTTTGTGGGGGTCTCCTTCAGCAAATCCAAATTGCTGTTCATCCATGCATTTCCTCTGATTTTTAAGTGTACAAAGCGTCGTTGCATGAGCTTACTGCATAGTTTCTTTATCAACACGGGCACCCTTTTCTATTTTTAAACGCCGATCATGGGCAAGAGCAGGTTCGATCTTCAATTTCCACTATTTCCGGGGTCTCGTGGATTTTATGAAAGGAACCTGTGTCAGACCCACATGTGTTTCCCAGGTTGGGTATTCCTCCTGAGCGAATTGTGGCAGGGGAACCCGGCTCCCGCCGGGTTCAAAGTTGGGTGAAGCTTAATAATAAGTTGTTGAACGACTCTCCAGTAAACGTGCTAGTTCTGGGAAATTGATCTATAAATATATATATATAATATAAATAGGGAATTGTTCATTGCCCATGGTTGATTACTGGAGGGTAAATGAATATAAAATGGATTATGTCCTAACCAGCAAATGTCGAACATGCAGAGTAATTATAGATTTGGCCATGACATGGGAAGCTAGTCATTAAAACTGTAGATTGATGATATGAAATCATGGAAGTAATCAAGAAGTGGGCACAAACATGATTTAACATTATAGATTTAAATCCACATCCTTGATGGTTAAATCATACATAACCAGGCTTTCAGATTTAACCATCAGGAAAGTGGAAAAATAATCATCAAGCAGGTCACCTTGCTGAAATCCAGTGTCGTGGAGAATGGATGTTTCTTGCGGCTAGTTGGAATGTGAAAAATACACCCGGCCTGGTAAACGTTAACAAAAAACTGATGGGAAGATCCACCATGTTCAATGGGAAAATCCACTATAAATGGTTTCATTTTCAATAGCTATGTTAAATTATCAGAGGGTACATATTGCTGTAAAGTCCAAGCAGCTGTTTAGGATTATTTAATGATTCCGATCATTGAATGTGTAGCCAGTTTTGACCCTCACACTTGATGAACCAGTCAACCAAATAAACATATGACTGACCCACATCATAGTGATAAAGTGAGGCACAAAATGTGTATGTAACCACTGTGGCTGACGGGTGTAGCGTCAGGTGGCCTCGGTCCAAGCGCGACGGCGATTGAAGCTGCTGGAGATTGCCAGTGAAGATGACTCGGATATGTCTGCGAGACTCAGGTGAACAAGACATAGGGAACTGAAACATCAGCAGTCTTGGATTTTTATGGGATATTGATGGTATATTTAATGGGATATTTTTAATTTGATATATTTAATGGAATATAGCCAATGGTATACATTTAATGGAATATAGTCATAGTTAATGGTGTATATGTCTGGGTCAATCTTAGATGGGTAGATGTTTCTGAACCAACAAGAAATAGGGGAACTGAGCCGTCAACAGTTTGGGATTTTTATGGGATATTGATGGTATATGTAATGGGATATTTTTAATTTGATATATTTAATGGAATATAGCCAAAGGTATACATTTAATGGAATACAGTCATAGTTAATGGTATATATGCCTGGGTCAATCTTAGATGGGTAGATGTTTCTGAACCAACAAGAAATAGGGGAACTGAACCATCAACAGTCTGGGATTTTTATGGGATATTAATCATGGGGATGAATGGGATATCTACGGCAATCTTAGAAGGGTAGAAACTAATCCTTCAGTCTTGTGGTATCAATTGGATTAATTATCTATGTTCACCAGCTAAGGATCTTTCATTGTTTGCAGGGTATCTAAGATTGGCCATGTTTAATGGTGTATGATGAATAGGATATTGGTAGTAGAATATGACCACCCCTCCCAACAATGTTTGGGCTTATTAATGGCTTACCAGTAGTACCGCACAAGGCGGTGGCGGAAGTTTCAAAAATGGAAAACCTATAGGAGAGGTGAGTTGGCGTGGCGCAAAAATGGCAGAGCGAACCCACTGATGGATTGAAAGGTGGTTGAATGTTTCTGCCTTTCTGTCTCTCTTTTTCTCTTTCTCTCTGTGTCTCTCTTTCGCCATCTATCTACTGTAGTGTAATTTAGTGTAGTCGAGTGTAGTGGAGTGTAGTGGAGTGTAGTGGAGTGTAGTTGTAGTTGTAGTTGTAGTGTAGTTGAGTGTAGTGTAGTGTAATGTAGTGAAGTGTAGTGGAAGGTAGTGTCGTGTAGTGTAATGTAGTGTAGTGCAGTGTAGTGGAGTGTCGTGTAGTGTAATGTAGTGTAGTGTAGTGTAATTTAGTGTAGCGGTGTAATGTAGTGGAGTGTAGTGGAGTGTAGTTGTGCAGTTGTAGTTGTAGTGTAATGTAGTGAAGTGTAGTGTAGTGGAGTGTTGTGTAGTGTGATGTAGTGTAATGGAAGGTAGTGTAGTGTAATGTAGTGTGGTGAAGGTAGTAGAATGTAGTGAAGGTGTAGTTGTAGTTGTAGTTGTAGTGTAGTGTAATGTATTGGAGTGTCGTGTAGTGTAGTGTAGTGGTGGTTGGGGGTTGAAAATGTACAAAACTTTCACGTGTGCTGCATCTGAAACTCCAAAAAGGGTACGTACATGGTGTTTTTGTACATTTTGACTTCGAAATGTGCTTCGCGCCACAACGGCGTGCACTTTTTCGAGATCTGAACCTCCAAAAGTGGCGCGAACATGTGGTGTTTTGTACATTTTGACTTCGAAATGTGCTTCGCGCCACAACGGCGTGCACTTTTTCGACATCTCAACTTCCAAAAAGTGGTCCGAAGCTGGTGTGTTTTGTACATTTTGACTTCGAAATGTGCTTCGCGCCACAACGGCGTGCACTTTTTCGACATCGCAACTTCCAAAAGTGGTCCGACGCTGAGGGGTTTTGTACATTTTGACTTGGAAATGTGCTTCGCGCCACAACGGCGTGCACTTTTTCGACATCTCAACTTCCAAAGGTGGTCCGACCATGGTGTGTTTTGTTACATTTTGACTTGCAAATGTGCTTCGCGCCACAACGGCGTGCACTTTTTCGAATCTCAACTTCCAAAGTGGTCCTGCGCGGGTGTGTTTTTTACGTTTTCAATTCGAAATGTGCTTCGCGCCACAACGGCGTGCACTTTCTTCGGACTCTCAACTTCCAAAAGTGGTTTTAGGCGCGGGCTGTGTTTTCTAAATTGTTGACTTCGAAATGTGCTTCGGACCAACGGCGTGCAATTTTTCATCTCTCATCTGGCCAGCTGGCTCCGCACCCGCCGCTTAGCGAGCCTACTTTTCGACCCTCCGGAGCCCCAAATCATTGGAAAAACACAGTGTTTCGCGACTTTCCTACCTTTTCGCGCATCTGCATCTTCTTTCTTCTTACTCTTTCTCTTCTACTCTTCTTTCTTCTAATCTTTCTCTTCTCTCTGCCGCTTCCCTGCTCTGCTTTTCATCTGTCCATATTGTCGGAAGTTTGACTTCTAAACTTCCTTCGATTAACCACCAACCCCCCAACATTCAGAGATGGGTATGAGTCAAAATCAAAGACCTCCTGGACCACAGGTTGACTTGTCTATGTTAGTATTCACCATCCAATCATTGGGGTACCCAATTTTGACCCATACCCATACCTTGTTTTTGTAGTGGAATACAATGGATAATATGTCGATGGTAATATAGAATACAAGGGATATGCCATAGGATAATTGACTATGGAATTGTAAGAGGTTGATAATGGTCAACCACCAATAAAAATAAAAACTTATAGAAATAACTATGATATAGAAATAACTATGAAATAACTATGATATAGTGGACATATTCATGGGATGTGAGTAGATTATAACCTCCCCAACCAATGCGTGGGCTTATCAATGCTTATTAATCACCAACCCCCCAACACTCGGATATATAACCTCCCTAAATCATCCATTTACAGATGGATGTTCCATTATAAACCAGCCATTTTGGGAACTTCCATTTATTGCAAGCCCCATATCTATACATATGTATATATATATATATGTATGTACATATACATATATATACATATCTTATCTAGTCATTGATAATGGAAGACTCAAGTGCGGGAGCCAGGTCACACAGGAATTCGATTTCGCACCAGAATCAGTACAAAAAGATGGGACTGATACCATGATTACGTCATGACTATTCATGAGTATTCCAGCAATATATGCTCTCAGTACCCCATGATTTCCCATTTCATCCATTCTCACCACGGGTTGTGTTTTTCTATATGTTTCTTTTTCCCTGAAAATATGGTTCCAAGGGCATTGAAAAGCAAGCCGAGGCCGCTCTGCATTGGCGACGACTGCAAGACACCAGGCGCTTAACCTGCAGTTGTGGAGTAGCTATCCAGTGGTGAACGGAAGGAGCGCTTCCGAGCGATTGGGCTATCCATATTCCCAACAAATACCCTCTGGTAAACTAACATAGCTATTGAAAATTGCCATAGAAATAGTGGATTTACCCATTAAAAATGGTGGATCTTTCCATAGCTATGTTAGTTTACCAGAGGGTATTCCCTATTAAATGGGGAGCAGTTCGGAGCTACGAATCGAGTTTCCCGACCAAATGATAGGTAAGGGATGCTATAGATTCTATACATATGATATACAGTGAGGGCACGTTTACTTATACCTAGTTATAACTAGGGTTAAGTTAGGTTATAAGTCAAGGTAACATAGGTTATAAGTTGACTTAAGTCCACTAAGTTCCTTGAATAGTTATAACTTACTTATAGAAGTTGTACAGTTTATAACTTAGTTATAACTTAGTTGTAGAAAAAATGTTTTTTAGTTAGTTTGAAGTTACGGAAGTTAGCATTTTGCTTTGTTTTTTCTATATTTGTTTTTTGGTTCCCTTGGAGGGAATGCTTGGATACGTGTTTTTTTCAAACATCATTTTTTTTGTTTATTCTTTGTTTTTTCATGTTTTCGAGGATTTGGGTGTTTTTTGTTGTTTGATTTTCTTTGATTTGCAGCTTCATTGAGTTTTGCTGTTTGAGCGGTTGTCTGCTCTGTCCTCTTACGCGCTTATGTGTGGCGCACTCGCTATGTTTTTCGTATCCGGTGGTCCGCGCGTATGTTCTGCGGTGGTCCGCTCAACGCTGCGCAGGTAGTTCTGCGTTGGTTCTCTGAATGTTGCGGTGGTCCGCACAATGTTTCATTCTCAGTGCCACACATCTGGTTGTCTTCAAGGGAACGTTCTTGACGAACACAGGTTGGGTCTTTACTCACCATGGCTGCCAAAATGTTACAACTAACCTTCAGTCGTGGTTTAGCCCTTGAAAGAAATAGTGTCAAGACACATGTGCTTTCAGACACATTGCAAGAAAAGCAACCAAAAAAACAGATGCGCACAAGGTAAACAGATGCAAACAGATGTAAACAGATGCATACAGATGTACATACATCGGTTTACATCTGTTTACATCTGCCTATGGTTTGGTAGGGTTTTTGAGCGCAGATGTAAACAGATGTAAACAGATGTACATACATCTGTTTACATCTGTTTACATCTGCCTATGGTTTGGTAGGGTTTTTGAGCGCAGATGTAAACAGATGTAAGCAGATGTAAAAAGATGCAAGCAGAGGTAAGCAAGATGTCAACCGGCAAAAAAACTCTTCGAGTAGACGATGTGATTTTTTGGAATCCTTCTTCAGCTGCGATGATTGTGTTTTTTGTTCAATACAAAAGCACTTTTGCCATGGTGCTAAAAGATTTGCCAGAGCTTCCGCATGATATTCCACACGGAAAGAAATTCTTAATATTGGAGAGCACACAAGCACTTTGCTTGGATGATGCTGTCAATTTGACATGCCCAACTTGGTGGACCATCGAAGATGGCAATGTGATATGTCTCTTGTAACAAACGCACTCTGAAGTCAGGAAAAAGAAATTCTTCTGTTTGGCGGTGGTCCGCGCAATTTCCAAGTTTTGTTTGGCGGTGGTCCGCACATTTTTTTGGTTAAACTACTTTTTTGTTAAAACTTAGTGGTTTTCAGGCTTGTTTAGCTTCAGAAACGAGAGAATTTCAAAAACAAGAAAATTAGTGAATCACTGGTTATGGTAGTCAAAAAGAGCTCAAAAAATCATCAGTTTGAAGTTACGGAAGTTATAATTTAGTTGCTAATTAGTTATAACTTAGTTATCAATCATTAAGATAACTTCGGTGTAACTTAGTTATAACTTCTTTAAGTTCACTAACTAAGTTATAACTTAGCGTGCCCTCACTGTAGGTATCCCATTAATTCCCAATCTGGATGAATTGATTAGTCAGGGTAATCATCCCCAAATGGCTTTATTCGAGCTGTTTTCATGTTTCTTAATTTATTGTTACTCAGCCGGATCCCAATAATATCATGGTAAGCAATGGCAACGTTTGCGGGGAACATGGGTTATTTTACATTTTCAGTGCAACCCTGACGCTGCTCTGCCGGAATTGCGGCAGGGCTGCGTGTTTTTCGAATGCCATGTCGGTGGACTTTCAATATGTCGATGTATATGTGATCCATGACCATCATCATCGTCATCGTCATTGTCAGTGGCGTCTTCATTATTATCATCATCATCATCATGATTATTGTTATTACTACTATCATCATCATCCCATCCCCTATGAAGATAAGTTGTTTTTATTTTCAGTTTCAGCAAATTCGCCACAGGGGGTGGAAGATGTTTGATCCCTTATGAAGATATGGTGATTCATTTTTTCCATTTAGCATATTTGTCAAAGGGTGAGGTGCATTGGTTTATCCCTTATGAAGATGAGTTGATGTGATTAGAGCATTCAACATATTTACCAGAGGGTTGGTGAATGTTTGATCCCTTGTGAAGATAAGCTGATGTGATTATACCATTCAACATATTTGTTATAGGGGGTGGCGGATTTATGATTCCTTATGAATAATGATGAACCATGTACGACATATAAGTTGATGGCATTACCCCATTCCACATGAGTTGACGCTGGTTATGATGAGGATGATGAGGATGATGATGATGATGATGATGGTGATGATGGTGATGATGGTGATGATGATGATGATGATGAGGATGATGATGATGATGATGATGATTGTAAGTGTGGAGCAACGTCCTGGTTGGAGGTACATTTTTGTTCAGCCGCTTTCCTCCTGATATTTGGGGTGTTGGCAACAAGCCTGATTTATGTCCCAAAGACTGCATATTTAGCTGTGTTGGCTCATTCGGCCCACTAGGTGCCAAGTCTTTGCTATCTATCCTCCCAATGGTTTCTGCCGGCGCCAATCACACAGTACTTCTCAGAAGTGATGGCGTTGCTGTGGCTTGCGGAACGAATTTTTTTGGACAATGCGACATTCCGCCGTTACCTGACGGAATGACATACAGCCAGGTCTCTGCCGCCTACCATCACACAGTACTTCTCAGAAGTGATGGCGTTGCTGTGGCTTGCGGAACGAATTTTTTTGGACAATGCGACATTCCGCGGTTATCTGATGGAATGACATACACCCAGGTTTCTACAAGCATGTATCATACAGTACTTCTGAGAAGTGATTGCAACGCTGTGGTTTGCGGACAGAATGCTTTTGATCAATGCGACATTCCGCGGTTAGCTGATGGAATGACATACATCCAGGTTTCGGCAGGCATTTGTCACACAGTACTTCTCAGAAGTGATGGCAATGCTGTGGCTTGCGGACGGAATATTTATAACCAACGCAGCATTCCACCGTTACCTGACGGAATGACGTACACCCAGGTTTCTGCAGGCAGGTATCACACAGTACTTCTCAGAAGTGATGGCGTTGCTGTGGCTTGTGGACGGAATGATGAGGGAAAATGCACCATTCCACCATTGGATGACGGAATTTCATACACCCAGATTTCTGCCGGCGACAATCACACAGTACTTCTCAGAAGTGATGGCGTTGCTGTGCCTTGCGGACTGAACATTAATAGACAATGCAGGTTTCCAACTCTTGATCCAGGGACTTGGTACGCTGCAGATGTGCCAGTTGGTAGAAACCACGTCTTGCAACTAGATTGTTCTTGCCAAGCTGATGCTATGCTGCTGACTTTCTCTGGTTTGACTGGGAACGAAGTGATGCGCTTGAATGCAAGTCCATCTGATCATGCCTGGAACACTCACAAGCGCATTGCCCATGAATTGAAGGTTCCACTCCAAAGTCTGCGAGTGGTTTTGCCTGATGGACAGTTGTTGGCGGCAGCCTGCCGTGCAAACCCAGGAGCCAGCCTTGCAGACGTCATTGAAACTCGCAAGCGTCGGCGTCTCACCTAGGATTGGAGCAGACAGAATTGGATTTGAAAAATTGAGGTCCTCGAGGAAGGACCCCTCTAGGAAAGTTGGTGTGGTTTTTACCTATGGAACAGAGGTATATCCAAGAAATAACCTCCAGATAATCTAGTTGTGAGCCAACTTAGCTATCAAAAATAAACTGTTTTCTTGTATAAATCATCATTTACTCATCGCAAAAAACAGTATTCTGTAAGAACGAGCAGTGTTAAAATAAGTGTTTTCGATCTGCAGGGTCTGCAGACTGCACAAGATGGTCGTAAATCTTCAATTTTTGCTGGGTTACTAGGTAGAGGTATGGGTCCTGGTCAAACCTTGCAATGGTTACTTTTAGTACTCACTAATCACTAATCTCTTGCTACTAACCAGCAACAACTTAACATTTGTTGCAGGCCATCTAAGATTGGCAATGGAATTATAGATCCACATAGTTCCACCATTTTTCTTTAAGTTTCAAGGAGTTCAAGGAGTTGGATAGGAGTGGAGTAAGGGATGGTATGAAAATTGATATCACGTGAAAACCTGGGGAAAACCCAACCAATGTGGAAAAGAAACACAGGGTGCCGACAGCGTCCCTTTCTGTTTCAAAAACTATAGTTATTGAGTGATGTAAGCCCTTACACTGATTTCTGTATGTCCCAAGGAGTTGTGTTTCATATGTTTTTTTTTGCTGTGTATACATATATATATATAACATATATATATATAACATATATTTATATATAACATATATATATATAACATATATAACATATATATATAATATGTACAATATATATATATATACATATAGCTTATATATATATATATGTAACTTATATATATTATAGGGCCTTATTGCTGTATGGGGTCGAGTCTAAGAATCGGGGATTCACCCCGTTCTATGTCCATTTGCTGAAAATCATGTGAATGTTGGTACCATATTTTCAGACAAAGCCACATGAGTTTACACGAGTCCCAAAAAGGTTGCTAAATCTTCAATGTTTCCCTCCTTGAACATCATTTCAAATCTAATGCTTGCCAATTAAACCACAATCTTCTTTGCCAAAGCATGTTGAAAGAATATCTTTACATATCTTTTCCTCAATAAATCCTCAACAGTCTTTTCCATGGTAATACGGACGCGCCCGAAAAACTCAGCCTTCGCCAGGCCGTCGCCTGGCGACGGTGGATCAAACGGAGCTGGATATCAGCATCGAACCATCTGCAGATGCCGTGATCTGGCTGGAAACCATATCTACATTGGTTGGTGGTTTGGAACATTTTTTCCATACTATTCAGCATAAATCCACTTAGCCTAGATACTTGTATAATCCACCTTATATAGGCTGGTTGGTGGTTTGGAATATCTATAGGGATCTAGTGGGGAATATACTGGGGATATTTCGTGGGGAACTTCGTGGGGATATGAAAAATGAATGACTGGTTGGTGGTTTGGAACATGTTTTGTTCCATTCAGTTGGGAATTTCATAATCCCAACTGACGAAATCCATAATTTTTCAGAGGGGTAGGTATACCACCAACCATTACAGGATGGGGCCACCAAGATAGCGTTCGGTTGCCTTATAAGTGGCTGAATTCTATGGTTTATGGTAGATATGATGGATGCTAATGGGGTTAAAGCTCCAACTTAAAACTGGGGGGCACCACCTTGTAGGGTTGATGAATGGGGGTTATATCGAACTAGTTTTCATGGGGATTATAAACCAAAAAACATCAGGTTTGGTGGGTATATACCACCTTGAAGAGTTCGTGAGTTGCTGGGGTGGTGCCGTTCATCTGAGCCATTAAAGTTTACGCTGGTTGAATACGGACTAGGTACTTGTAGTAGCTAATTTACTGGGGTTTATGAACCAACCCATAGTAGGGAAACCGTTTTCAATCAACTAGTATATTGAGATGGGACAGGGGTATTTTTAATGGCTCATCTGGCAATTTTGAAGGGAATGTGTCACATTTTTGGTATAAGACCTGGGGAACACAGATTGACCTGTCTTTTTTTGTATTACCCTCTGGTTATGTAACATAGCCATGGAAAATAGCCCATTTATAGATGGTTTACCTATTAAAAATGGTGATTGTCCATAGCTACGTTAAATAACCAGAGGGTAACCATCGAAGTATTGGGGTATCCAATTTTGACTCATTTCCTGGATCTCAGTTCGAGATGGGAGATTTGCTCCTCTAAAAATGGCAGGTTTTAACATTGTTTAAGTAACAAAATTGGTGACTTAGAGTTGATATAGCTGATTCTTGTTAGCTAAGTTGGTGGTTGATGATTTTTGCTGGCGAAAACTTGGTGGTTGGTACAAAGGTGAGGTTCCAGTGCTATTTGTTTGTCTATATACCCATTGACTATGGTCTATCGCTATATCCCCTCACAAACCTTACTTGACTAAGTTACAAGTTAACTTTGCTATCTAGGGGCCCGCACCTTGTAATCTGGCAATATATGTTACGCTCAATCATGGTTGGCATGATAATTATGACAGACTCAACTGACGCGAACATGTTCCAGCGGGGCTGAAACCACCAACCAGATTCTGATTAAGACTATGACTGATTGGTGGTGTGAAACATTTTTCCATATATTGGGAACAATCATCCCAACTGACGAATATTTTTCAGGGGGTTGAAACCACCAACCAGATGATGTTTTTGTGAATTTCATCAACTTTGCACTAGAAGGTGAAACCCCCTTTGCTGGGTCCGCCACACCAAGATATAATAGTAAGATAGGGAATCTGCAAATGAACAAATGGAAACTTTCAACTGGTTGTTTGCGATTATTTGTTTGGGGAACCCTCGGTCACCCTCCCACATGATGGTGGAGATTTGCCCCTAACATTGCCTAAACGTGGTGATTAAAACAGCTACTATGGGTGTATTACTGTTTTTCTCCAGGAGTGGCTCAAAAGAAAGACCTATTGGAACCCTATTTTGGAACCATGGCCATGAAATCTGGTGATTTATCCATTAATTATCAGGATTAGAACCTCATTTTCCTATAACAAATCCAGGTTGTTCCAACTGATGCGTAATTCAACGATAGCACAAGAGGGCCTGCGGCCCCTGTTGCAAAGGTCCCCAAGGAACCGGATCATCCACCTCCGACTGTTGCCGCAGTTGCAAAGGTTCCCAAAGAACCATCGCGTCATTGTGGTCTGCGCACACTTTGAATGCGCACTACATAGAGGTCACAGGCACACAGTCTTGGTAGAGAAGATGCCAACGGCCCGCAAGAACTGCAAGGATGCAGGCAAGGAAGAAACCCAAAAGTGGAAAGCATTTTCGAAACCACAGTTCCAATGGTATCCGCCTGCTGGTTGGCAGCCGCCACTTAGGAGTGTAGATCATCCTGTGCAGCCTGCCGGGCTTCACAACATCCAACTGCTTTGCATTATCATACCACATTTTTAACTCCTACCACAATTGGGCAGTGGATCACGGTCTTGACCGCCGAAGAGGTGTAGCCCACGGCCGACAGGTCATTAAAGGTGGTGATCTTCCCCGAGAAAATCATTAACCAGAGGAGAAAAAATAAAAATCTGCTTGGTGGTTTGGAACATTTATTTTTTCCATATATATTGGGAATAATAATCCCAGCTGACCAATACTTTTCAGAGGGGTTGAAGCCACCAACCAGAAATGTAATTTGACCTCTATCCTCAAGCATGTCCCCCGAAACGTATCCAGGGTTTTGGGGGCAACCTTCAAATGAGAAAAAACCTGGTGCTTCCCAGTGATGAGTCGGCTTATAATCTGAGTATAGCCATATGCAACAAACAACCCAACAGTTAGCCTAGTTAACTTAGTTAATAAACAGTAAATCAATGATAGAAAGCTACAGAAGTCAATTAAAATCCATAAATCAAGTATAAAAGTCACATAAACCTGCCATAAATCCTAGGTTCACCGAACTTTCCACCATTCTTTTCGCGAAGAAACGCAACTTTCCTCAGGCAGCTGCGGCCACAGGAGGTGACTCCGCAAGTTCAGGTGGTACCTTCGGAGATCCGTGCCGGGCCGGTTAGCAATGAGCGAAGCAAGAACTGGGAATAACTAATATATAGTAATATATATATATATATATAATTATATATATATATATGTTATGGATATTATGGATATTCCAGTTAATATATTAATATATATACATATATATATATATACAGATATATATGTATAGCTATATAAAATTGCGAATAGCTATTAAATAGCCAAAATGGATATCTGATTGGATAACTATATATATATATTGAAATTCATACTACCAACCAAAAGGGTCAAAATATATTAGGCGTTTGAAGATCCAGGTATATGTACATATTATGGCTAGCTATAAATAGCCATTTTAGTTAATAGCCATGTTCTATAATATAACTATTAGATATGTCATTCATACCATTGACTCTGGTATAGGCATATATGTAGGTACCATTAACTATTCTATAGCAATCCTACAATCCTACAATGTGGGGCCCCAAAACGACAGCTAAGTTGGTGCAAATAACTCCAATAACCATGAATGGCACTTACAACTATAGCTAATAGTATACAATAGGATTAGTTGGCACACATATTCATAGCATACTTAGCCCATCCTATTTTACCTTAATAGTAAATAGTATTAATAGCTATTAAGTAGAATAATAAAACCATTTCTGGGCTAATATAATAGCAATCCTAAAGTATAGATATTGATGATTAATACCATTTAATGGAATAAGTATATTTTAAATAATGGAGTAATTGGACTCTTGCTTGGAGCTTGCGCAAAGCAAGCAAACGTGTTGTCAACATCACATGGCCAAAATGGCACTGCCATTTTGGCTTAAGCTTGGATATCTGATTGTGAGAAAATAAACCTTTTCGCCTTCTTTTACCCCTCACGTTTTCTGCCATGTCCTCTTCGGATGTCCGTGCTGCTTCGTCCACTGCCGATGCAGACCATGTCGTGGTACATGTGGACCTTGAGGACCTTCCGGAGGAGTTTTTGCAGCTTTCAACTGAGGTGACGGCGGAGGATTCATTTTGGAGCAGCACTGCCGGGCTAAATAGTGGATAATAATGGGTTATAATGGTTCATATATATATATAATAGTGGGTTAATATACCATACCTTCAATATATAAGATATTGACCATTTTAACCATTTATATATAGTATATTATTACCATTATTACCATTATAACCATTATAACCATTAGAACCATTAGAACCATTAGAACCATTAGAACCATTTAAATGGTTAATATATAATAGTGGGTTCATTTTGAATGCAGAGGACTTGGTGGCCCTGTCGCTGACTTCACCCCGGTGGAAGCGGAGGACGCGACAAGTTGATCTGGCGACGCTCGCAGAAATGACGCCATGGCCATGCTTGGTGGTTCATCCCACTTAGTAAGTAGGTTATAACCTTGGTTATAAATGGGATAAGTACGGTTAATCCACTTACAACTGAGGTGTATAACCTACTTACTAAGTGGGATGAACCACCAAGTACGGTGGCTAAGGTTTCTGAACCGGCCGCTGCAGACTTGTCAGTGCTTTAACCGTACTGACATCTTCTATTGATTTGAGAACACTGATTCATATTTCAAAGTTATATGGTAGCAGTCCTAAATGGTACAAATATCCATTAATATCTATTCATGGTATAGCTACCAATGATTAAGTGAATAAAATGGCAGTCATCATTCATAGATATTTATAGCTATTCCATTTTTTTGCCCATCCTATAGTAGCAATAACTTTCATTTTACTGGGTAATCCCAGAAAATTGGTGGTAGGAATAATGAATATTAACGGGAATACTTTATTGATTTAAGCAAGATTTTTTTTTTGGGGGTGGAATAACGAAGGAACTAAATATTCATATTGAAACCGTACTGAATCCCAGTGGGTAAGTGAGCAGTTGATATAGCACTTATTAGCTTAACTTTTCAGTGGGGTTAATAGTACTTTATAGTGGGAAAACTAAGACTAATTAATGGGAATATATTGAGGTAAAACCTTAATTGACAATGGGAATGTGCTGGGATTTTATGGTTGTTCTTTTGGTTTGTTGGTGGTTTCAAGCATTTATAATCAGCAAAAGGTGTATAACTACTCTACCGGTATTTCGTTTATTGTGGACTCATTTACAGTTGAATGGCTGCAAACAGAGCAGCTTAAAGATAGGGCTCTCCGCATTGTGATGTCTAAATAATATATTTGATATATATAGATATATTTACATATGTGCACGTCATACAAAGCAAATATAAGCCACATGTACATACATATAGATATACCCTAAACAAAGCCGTGATATATATATAAGTAGATAAGTATGTTTTCCTTTAAGCAGGTTCACACATACAAAGTGTCCCGCCGCAGTTAGGAAAAACGTAAACCCAGCTGTAAACCAAGATTTTGCTACCAACTTAGCTATCCTATCATGTGTCTATCAATTTCCCGATCGAACATCATCTCTAAATCCATCTAATTCCCACATTTTCTTGGTGATATCACTTACTGGTAAGTGTCGTTTCAAAAATCACCTTTCCATCGATCCCAGAAAATCCACATGTTCCTAGTTCAACGACCATTTTTGGTGGTTAAATGCACCACTTCTCCTTTCCGGGGTCCTTTTCTATTCCAACGCACAGGCTCAGACGCCCTGAACGCACAAGCCTCCGAGTTGGGCGAGGTGTGGTGATGGTGAGGATGGTAGATATCTCATATATCTCTTTAGAATTCTATCGTATTCTATACTATGATTTTATTATATATCTGGGTAAATTTGATCACGACCTCGCTGCGACCGAGCCCTGGAAATCATAGTTAGTAAGGGGAATCATCCCAAAATTGCCTTAATTCAGGGTAGTGAAATATTATAATTTACCCATATATATATAGTATCCTATACTATTCTAATGAATAGATATATCATATTTCTATAGTATTCTATAGTGATTGGGTGTTATAAAGGTATTAATAACTGCGGGAGCACCACCTTGTGCCACAGATCGGCAAAATTGTTACAATGTGGGGCCCCTGGGATAGCTAAGTTGGTACAGTAAGTTTATAACTCCAATATTTGTGGTTTATTTTTCTGATAATTGTAATCATTGTTTTTTTCAAAATGGTAACCAGTGAATTATTGATAATGGTTATGATTCTATCATTGATACTCATGGTCATTTATGGCAATATGTTTTCCAAAAAACTAGTCATACATTGAAACATCAATGACCACCAAATGGCCCTGATACAAGACTAGGACATACACAGAGATATGGATGTCATGGTGCTACGGCAGATGCGTTGATCACATTACTTAGATCAATCTGAATGATGGGTAGGTAGTTTCACTAATCCAAAATAGGTTTTTGGTACGGGATTATCTACTCACCAGCTAAGAATCGTTCAATTTTTGCAGGATATCTAAGATTGGCCATGAAATATGAGGATGTATGAGGATATAGTTGATAAATTATGGTTTACAGCCAGATTGATAGGTGATTTCATGGGGATCTTTTTTATCATTTATAGGTGGTTTTATCACCATCAGATGACATTTGTTGGGCCATGTATAGATGGAGTTTGTGTTTTTCCTTCTGGGGATGACCTTGGAAAAAATCGGGTAATTTACCACTGGCATGTTACGGTATTCAAGAAACTAGGGCAAGAAACTATTATAGTTTCAAGAAACTGTTCAACACAAAAGATATAGTTTCAAGAAACTGTTCAACTAACAACGAGGTAACTAGGTCAATCTCAGATGGGTAGAAACTAATCCTTTAGTCTTTTGGTATGCAAATGGGATTATCTACTAACCAGCTATTTTTTTTGCAGGGTATCTAAGGTTGGCGATGGAAATAAAAATTCGTCAAACTGTTCAACTAACAAGTGACCAGGTGTTTTTACATGGTTTACATGTTATTTTTCCTGGTTTTGCACCGTTTTCACTGGGCAAAACAAAAAGGATGGCTACTTCAATGTATTGTTCTTTGTATTAAACATGGAAACCATCATGATTTTGGGCCAGGTGAAATTATCACCATTTTCCCATATACAGTAGAGGTTTCCTGAAATCGGGGATAAAAATGGATGATTTGGGGGTACCCCTATGGCTTAGGAAATTTCCATGTTGCCCTATGTCCCATATATTGTTCCAAGATTCTCCCATGTTTTTCCTATATGTTCAATATTTTTCCATATTTTGCCATGGTTTCCCATGGTTTTTGTCATGTGATCTGTATTTTTCCCACGGTTTCCCTAGGTTTTCCCAAGTTTTCCCATGGTTTTCCTATGGTTTCAGCTGGAAGCGGCCAGGTCTCCAACACCCTGCAGACCTTGTCCACGGGGAGCGAGCTGGCGCAAGCTGCTGGCGGAGATGTCTGGAAGCCGAGATGAAGTTGGGAGTTCCAGATGTAGTGGTATTTATACCACCATATTCATCATTCACCACTATCTATACCATTTAGATTGTGGTAGATATATGGATCTAAACCAAAAAAAAGGTTGGATTTTACGAGCAAATGGCGGATTTAGTCCTTTCAACAGTAACGTTGACCTACATAAATCATAGAAAGAATGGGCTGAAAAAACAAAAGGGAATTTCAATCCTCAAAACATGTTTTTGTAACCAGTGACGTCGTGGGGTTTGACACACAAACCCGGGGTTTGTGATGAATGGCATTGGGGATGGTTAGTTTGTGGCTAGTGGAAAGTCCTGGTTCTGGCGTTATGAAAGGCTAATGGTACTCCAAAAAAAAATGCCGCACCAACAATCAAGGCATTTCAAAGCGGTACCCCTACATACATGTTGGTGCAAAATCCCATCTGTAATTATGGTTATGATGCACAAGCTCAACGCTTTACTGAACTAAAGCAATCTAAAGCAACTGAGCCATCATGGGGGCGCCACTGAAGCTATCCCAAACTGGACATGAAAGGCTAAGGTTTGGCGAGTTTCAAGAGTTTTTAGCCTCCATCAAGCCATATTTGCCGTGGTCAAAGGTCACGCCTTGCGATTCCCCACCCT